TATCAAGAATACACCAGTGGACGGAGTAAAACAGTTTACCTATCTTGACACAATAGTAAACGAACAATGGGATCACTAACAAGAAGTAAAATGTAGAATGAAGAAGGCTAGGAGTGCATTCAAGAACATGGCCAAACTCTTTAAAAGCCAAAACCTTAATCATAAAAGTAAGGCTCCTACAATGTTATATCTTCTCGATATGATTCTACGGAGTTGAATCCTGGATACTAAGGATATCAAGGACGGACAAGATAACCAACGAGATTGTACTACGAAAAATAAGGAAAGAAATACAAAATATTTATAATATTTTTGGCAAAAGCCTTAAAATTAAAAGATGGCATCATTTCCTAACAATGCCCAAAAACGTTCAACCAAAATCGTTTAATCTGAAAACTTTATCAGCGACTAGATGCTTATACAGATTTAAAATTGTGCTTGGTGTAAAGCAGAACTACATGACAATTTTAAAAACACTGTCTAAAATAATATTAACTACCACAGATCGTGAGGAGAGAATGACAGCTAATACTCGTAATTTAAAAAGTAAAATGGAACAGTTTGAATTTGTCTTCCTAACTATTTTACACAATAAAGTTTTAGAATCTAGAAATCTAGCTGTCACTCTTGCAATGCAAAAATATGGACCTCTAACGCGCAACAGTACTTTTACATAACTGTAAAGAATTTTTAGTAAATCTTAGGCAAAACTAAACGTAATTTTTACAATAGTCCAAAGATTTTGCTACTAATTGTGGCTTGTCCTGTAGTTTTAAAATCAAAATATTAGGTAGAGTTAAATAGCATTTTGATGAATTGCTACAATATTATGAAAGATATAAAGTAGGCGTGTTTTTAGGAAATCTCGATGTAGTCATTTAACAAATTTAAGCTAGATTTATAAGTATGTACAAAGTGAACGACGATTTTAAAGTCTTATATAGAAGTGGATACCCTTTTAAATTGGATCCAGAATGTTTTGTAGAAGCCAGTAAATTAGTTGCTGCGTACTCGTCAGATTTAAGTAATGAGTTTTTGGAGCAACTGTAATTATTTGTTAATATAACATTGAGGACACAGTTGGAATCGGCGAACTCCATTTATGGTGCAACCAAAATTATTCTTATAGATTTTCATTGCACTAGTACTTGCATACCAGAAGTGCGTCATGCGATGCGTACATCTTGTTTTTAACTTTACCTGTCACGACCGCTAGTTCAGAGAGATCTTTTTCTAAACTTAAATTAATAAAATCATATCTTCGTAGTACCTACAATGTCAGAAGCACGATTATCTTCTCTAGTGCTTATAAGTATTGAAAATGAAGTTGGCCATCAGATAGATATTAATAAAAGTGTAGATATATATGAGCTGATAGTAGTGCTAGAAGAAATTTGTTCATCTCATAGAATAATACTATATAATAATGTAATTGTTGGGAAAAGTTCCCAACACCTTGAATTTAAATTATATAAGAAATTAAAATTTTGAACCTCTAGCGCCATTTTCGTGCGTTCCCAATGTCACATTTTTTATGACATAAGTTCCAATCTGTTACACTTAGCAAGCCTTCTCGTCATGAGAGGGCGTTGAATTCCTTTAGGTCGCACATGTTAATAAATAAAATAATATAATATGTAATATCAAATAAAAAACACATAAATGCAGGAAATCACTCTCAGATAATTGTAAACTTATATATTCACTCTAAAATAAATTTATTGTGAAAGGGGACTTATCCACCTAGTGGCAGTTTTCAAAAACTGCAAGACGACAATCAGCAAGGAGAGAAGTTGGCGGTGTCATAGAAAAAATATATACGGCGTTATGTCTTCGCCATTAGTCATTTTTGTTTAAGTTTTTGACAATTATATTATAAAACGATCTTAAGAACGTGAACTTGATGGAGTCATAGGTGCAACGAAAGGAAAGCATCTTTTATAAAAGTGTTCCTGCTACCAGTTACCGTCAGAAGCATCTTCTGAGGGGTCTCAAGTACTGTGCAGATTTATTGTAAGTTAATGTTCCCTATTATTGAAGTCCTCCATGGCCAGAGACACAATTTAAAACGGAAATTTGTGTACACACACTCTATTCGCGAATGAAACCATATCTCGTGTGCTTAATATAAGTTAATGTTAAAATTTAGAAGGCCGAATAAGTATGTGCACATTTCTCTGATAAATATGAATTCATATTCATTTGTATTGTAACCCTTTTTTGTTTGTAAGATGTTTAATGATTTAAAGACAAAAGGAAGGTAGTATATAAAAATTACGAGAGAGTAAAACTTTAACATACATTCTTGTTATTTGTTAGTTTTCAATACACTTATAGTACTGTTTATTTATTTTATTTCACTGATACCTAATAAAGTCAATTTTGGAGATTCTGAACCAGTCCCTAACTGGAAATACAATATTAACTCTAGGAGTTTTTATATAGTCGGAGACACGTTTGTCGGTTCTCCACGCTCGAGTGGTTGCAAGGCAGACCAAAGTAGTTTGCTAAGCGACCAGTAATAAATCATTTATTAATTTTTGTTCTATCTTATTCTATACCACTAAATATGATTTTTCAACGGCGAAGTCATCAATAATTTGCGATATGCGGACGATACAGTACTCCTAGCTTCTAGTCAAGAAGATCTACTTGATAGTGTCGTTGAAAGTTGTAGGGAGGCAGGTCTGGATCTTAACATAAGGAAAACCAAAATGGTCGTAATAAGTAAACAACAGCATATAAAACCGTATATATATATTGCTGTCCAAGGGAAACGATTTTATCAACTTGCTCAAGTTTGGTATTATTTACATATATATATATATATATATATATATATATATATATATATATATATATATATATATATATATATATATGTAAATAATACCAAACTTGAGCAAGTTGATAAAATCTTTTACCTTGGAAAAATGTATGAATAGTGAATGTATGTGTGTATGAATACACTAACACATAAAGTTTTTGTTACACAAGTAACATTTTTTTAACCATATAGTGCCATAGAATGCCATAAATGCAGTACTTAGTCTGCAGCTTAGAATCCGAATGATTAGATGTTACGTTTTTTCTGTTATAATGTTCTTATTAGTCCTAATTTATTGTCTTTATTCTAATTCATTGTCTTTATTCTAATTTACTGTCTTTATTCTAATTTATTAAAACTCACGATAATTTTTTAAAAGTCTTTATTTTATACTAATTTATTTTACACTTAATAATTACAAATAATTCATTTGCGTTCGAACAATTTTAAACCGATATCGCGAGCTTCTTGTTGACTGACTGTTCTCAATGAGAATCTTTCGTTATTTATACGAAACCAGCTGGTAAACAGAATTTTGTAGAAAATACGATGCCGTTCTCGACGTAGACACAGCGGCAACCGGTCTCAAAACTGGTATGTTCTTCATCGGCTCGTCCCCAGAAAATTCGATTGTTGTTTGTTTAGCGAAGGGGACCCAAATGATGTCAGGTAGATTTTTGACCTAGAAATTATGAGAATCAATACAAAAGAATTAGTCATAAAATATTTACAGTTCTATACGCCATAACATTTAAAATTGTAACACTGTCTTACTGTATGGCTGTGAAAGTTCGACAATGGACTCTGAAATAGAAAAAGAATAGATGCCTTTGAGATGTATATATACATAGACGAATGTTGAGAATTCCATGAATACAAATAGTTACTAAAGTTGAGGTACTTCGTCGAATGTGTAAACAAAAAGAATTACTAAGAATAATCAACGAGAGGAAAATGCAATACTTGGGTTATGTGTTGAGAGGTGAAAAATATGAATTACTTAAGGTTATACTGGAAGGAAAAGTACAGGGTAAAAGATCAGTAGGAAGACGCCAGAACTCATGGCTGAAAGACCGAAATCTTTTGCGCAGCAGTTTCCAAAACCACAATTGTCATTTGGATCGCCTTCGAAAGGAGACGGCGCCATGAGAAGAAGACATATGCAGTTCTGTGGGGGGGGCGACGGAGGTTGTTACGCCACTGGACAAGATAGACGAGAAATAAATGAATAAAGTTTACATTAGCCCAACATAGTGAAGACACGCGAGTTCTGGGTGCGCAGTAGCAAAATTTGAAAAAATTGGGACAGCTTACCGGTTACTTTTGTGGGTTGTGATATAAATATGGCAAATGTGCGAAAACAACAAGTTCTAAATCATCAAACGTAAGAAGTAATTTATAATGTTTTAGAATTTACAAAAAATGAAGTAGAAAATGGACATTGTTAATAGATTTAATGCATGAACGTGTTGCTGCAATGATGGGTACTTATGTACGTAGCACTGAATAATTATTATATTTTACCTAATGTAATTTTAACATTTAAGTCTCCCAACTATAAAAAAGGCTCTATTAACCTTAGTTCCAGGATCACTTTATTTAATGTTTCTTTTAAGGTCATTTCCACTAAATTAATAAGTTTGATAGATATTTTTAACAAACCTATCGTCTATACCTACACAAAATGTGCAAGCCTATATTTTGTTACCCTCCTTGTATGTATCTATAGATCCATTTTAGCTTGTGGTAATCTTATATTTTTCCAAATTCGTTTCATTAGATTCGTGTTATTAGTTTGAGCAATAGCTGTACACTTTCCTTGAATATTTCTGCTATTATACCTTTTTCTCATGGACTCTTGTTATTCTTCAGCTGCTTTATTATTTCCTCTATCTCCAGATCTGATGGTTCGTTTATTTCGGCATCATTATTGCTTTGCTCCGGTCCGGTTTGTAATTGTATTTCATTGATATTGATATTTTCCTCTGGTTTAGCATTTCCTCAAAGTATTCTGCCCAACTCTCTAGTTTTCTTGGTAAGTCACCTATTAGCCTGCCTTCTTTACTTCTGTAGACACATGTGATTCCGGGATCCGTAGTTTTATTGACTTTGACTTCTTGGTAAAAATTCTTGATCTTTTTGTAGTTATTAATATTACTCTTATAATTTACAGATGTTCGAACGACTTAGAAAAGCTCAACCCAACGCCTATAAAAAGATGGTACCAGTCATTGGCGATCTTTACACTGAAAATTTAGGACTGACTAACAAGGATATCGAAACGTTAATCAGTGAAGTTAATTTAGTATTTCATATGGGAGCCACTTTAAGGTTAGAGGCTAAGTTGTGCGATGCTATAGAACAGAACACTGCAGGTACGGCAAGAGTTATAGACATTGCTAAGAAGATGAAGAATATACAAGCTTTTTTGCACTTTAGCACAGCATTCTGCTCTGCGGATCTTGATGTATTTGAAGAAAAGGTAAGTTAAGTGAAATTATTTGCTAACAATGTAATTTTGTAGTATGGAAACCTTCAACCTAGATAATACCGAAATCTAAAATACTGGAGTTGTTTCCGCAAGTTGGGTTTATCATATTTACCTTTCTAGGGATTAATAATCTCCATGATGTTAAATTATGGCTAAAGTCTTTCGAATCGAAAAGTTGTTAGTACCAACAATAATCAACACGCCCGACCATTTGACCAAATTGTGCAGTACAAAAAGTATTTCTCTTTTAGAAATCTTGTAGTTCTGCTGGGAATTTCATCGGAATATCAGTGAAGTATATGCATATCAAATGTTCTAATGCATTACTCATGATCAAATGGTGAATATCTTGCTGCGGTATTCTGTTCCACTCCATTAAAAGGCTCTCGTACAGTTTGTCGGTAACGGGAAAAAGCCTCTTGCCTTGCGAGCGAAAGACCAGGCTCCTACACGATCTTTCCGTCTCTTGCGTAGGAGAGAGTAGGGATTTCGGTCAGTGGCCATAGTGGTATACTATGGACACGTTAGCTATGGAACAATCTGTCTTATTAAAACACAATAAAAATGTTTCGTTTATTGCGAATAAAGATAAATAGAATAACAGTAAGGTGTTAAATCTAAGAATCTGAAAGGACTATAATTATCTCCAGACCTTAAGTGTGGAGGATAATTATACAATTAGTTTAAATCTAAGAATCTGTAATGTAGAAACGTATTAGATTAAACAACAATACACAAATTTATATGAAAATTTGATATTAGTAAATATAGAAAAATCTCAGCTGTCAAGATTGAAAGGTAGGAAGGAGTCGAGGTAGGATCCTGAAACCAGCTGGAAATTGTCTAGAATAGTGCCATTCGGCAATATTAACAATAAAATGTAGATAAAATACACTGTAAAAAGTCGCTGAGACCTGTAAATAAGAAATAAAATACAAGTTATTTTCCGAATTTTAAGGATATTCCTAACGGGAAAATAAAGTAAGTTTATTCCTGAAAGAGAACAAGCAACAAAATCTTTCAAAGTGTCAAAATGTTTCAGACCTAAAATGTCTTACCAGTTTTCAACAGTGTACCTGTAAACTATCTTACCAGGTTTTAACAGTGTACCTGTAAAACTATCTTACCAGGTTATAATAGTGTACCTGAAAGAGATTGCAAATAGGAAAGAAATAAAACACAATTTTATCACTTTATTTCTCCGGCGTCGTCCGGTGGCTTCTGTAGAGTAAGGAAGTTCTGTAAAGTAAGGAACTTAGAATGCACCTGGAAAAAACAATTTCTTACATGACTTGTAAGGCGTCGAAAAAATCAGATCTAGACAAGGTCTAAGAACACAGATTATTCGGCGAAAAATAACGACGCTCTTAAGAAAATATTAGCAAGTCCGACTAGGTCGAATTGCAGAGATAAATCCTCAAAAATGGCCGTTTGATTTGCGCTCGCAAATCGACAGAGGTTCACTCTGGAACTCTGCTAAAAGTTAAAGATGATGGAACGTTAGGTTCCTGGTTTAAAGTTGAGAACGTGAGATTCTGGGTAGGTAAAGATGAAAAGCGTTAGGCTCTTGGTTTGAGACTCTGAGAACTGAATCTATTAGAGGATCTCTACGTCTGTCAGAGGGTCTGCCGTATCGGCCATCGTGCATTTCTTTTATAGAGAAAAAACTAGGTCAATCTCCAACGGTCAATTCTGGCCGCTGGCTATTGGACCAGCACGATAGCCAATGCTCAATTCCAAGTATTATCATTGGTTACAAGTCTGTTGTAAATTGACCAACGATAATACCGAAGTTGAGCAGTATATTACAAAATTGTGATTGGTCGCAATATCGTTGCTTTTTAGCCAATCACAAACTCCAAAATCTGCATTTGGCGACAAGTTGCTCTCTTGTATTGAACGCAATATTTTGTTATAAAATTAGTCTGCCCAATATGTCCCATACATGCTCAATTGGGTTTAAATCTGGCGATTGTGCAGGCCATATGCATGCTGACGTGCATTGTCGTGCAATGATTGAAATTGGGGACCAGCTTGTTATGCAAAGGGTACGACAATAGGTTGTAGAGTAATATCGTGCTAGTCTGTTGCATTTAAAAACCGTTCCAGACAAACGAGATTGGTTTTTCCACCAAGAGTGATACCACTCCATACCATTATACTACCGCCTTGCTGTCTATGAACCTTTTGCACATTTTGCACATTTGCACATCTGTAAACAAAATAGAGGCCCACTCACGTTTAACCCAATTTGCGTTTTCTGGTCCCCATTGAAGTCGATGAGCGCGATTTCCTCTGAATAATACAGGCACTTTTGCAGTTATTCGAGCATTTAACCCTACTTCACGCAGTCTATTTCAAATGGTTTGGCCACTTACAAATACCTGATGGGTCTCTTGTAGCCTCGTTTGTAATTGTGATGCGGTTATACTGCGATCTCGCAAAACCTGCAACCTAATTAAACGGTCTTTAATCTGGTTGGTTATCCTTGTACGGCCTGTATGACGTTTAGCAACATCACCAGTTTCTTGACACCTTAACCACAAACGATTAATGACACTTCTGTTCGTGTAGAGGATCTCAGTCAAGTCTCTTTGACTTCTGCCAGCTTGAAGCTTCCCGATAGCACGTCACTGCGTTTCGCAATTTAAATGATGTCTCTATTAGTTGCAATTGCAGAACTAAATAAATATCCACATTCTTCTTCTTAAGGTGCCGTGCATTTCTGCGTAGGCGTCCACCGTACATCGTCTTGTCAGGTGAGATGTTAAATATTCTGGATTAAATAATTCTGTTTTTAGCAGCATTGCGAAGCATTTCATAGCTGTGGATTCCTGTCCATTGTCGAATATTGTGCAGCCATGACATTTTTTTACGTCCGAGACCTCTCCTACCCTCTATCTTCCCTTCGAGTATCAGTTGCTGAAAAGTGTATCGTTCTCCTCGTATTATGTGCCCCAAGTATGCAGTCTTCTTACTTTTTATATAATTAAAAAGTTCCCTATCCTGTAAGAACGCTCTTCTGAGAACTTCCTCATTTCTGACCCTGTCAGTCCATAATATTCTGAGCATTCGACGCAGGCACCACATTTCAAACACTTCAAGTTTGTTAATGGAACTGGCCTTTAACGTCCATGCTTCCATTCCGTACAGGAGAACAGGCCACACGTAACACTTAAGCATCTTGTATCGGAGGTTGAAGTCCAATTTGCGAACAGTCCATAGACATCTAAAGAGCATCCACATAGACATCTAAAATCAGGTACCAGTAAAGAAATATTACTTTCTAACTTATAAACAAAAACTCATATTGAAGTTTTGTTAAATTTTTTATAGTCATTCTTATCAGGATTATCAGGATTATCCAAGTTCCTACAATAATCGACAAAACAACAAAAAAGATTAAAAACATAAATTTATTTTTGTATTTGCAGCTAACATTGATTTAAAGCTATTAATTTAGGTGTCCCCTAGATTATTTTGATATGTTGTAGCGTAGATGCTTAATAAACATTTAGCACACAAATTAAATTCAAGGCCAGAATCGCTCAATGTCGGAGAGAAATTGCGGGGTACGGTCAAATGTATAGAAAGTACGTAGTATCTCAAAAATCCAAACACAATTAGATAATCTGAAATTATAATTTATTATGGGTACGCCACCCCCGGTTTATCCTCGAAGGGGACGAGGAGAAAAAAAAATAAGATTTACAGAAAGTTTACAGCGAAATTACACTTTATTATTTCTCAGTAATAAAAAGAAACATTAAAAGTTATGTTATTTCCAAAGGATACTAAAATACTATTTCATATTTACATTACTATAAACAAAACAACTTTATATCGTATTAAATTAAGAATTGGTTATTAAAAACAAATGAATTTATATATTATTTCCAAATTTCGAAATTCGTTTACATTCAAAATACTATAGTAGTTATTTATTAACTAGGCATAATAGAAAAGTTAAATCTTTAAACAAAATTAAAACACTGCTATATTTCCTTTCTCTGAGTCCATAATTATTTCTCGCTTTCTCGATAGGATATAATAAAAAAGAATGGTACAACCTTAATTATCCAATAGCTGGTAACCATACAAAAAGGATATGCTCTGTTTCTCCTCACCCTCTAAGTATTTCATTAAATTATTTATTAGAGGTCCATTTAGATCATAATGAAATATTGGGCTGCGTTTACGACAGCATATGACTTCTCAGTTAACTTCAAGCCAAATAAACATAATCAATGATCTTTATCCTCACCGGTAAAGGTCTAAAAATAATTATTTATCTGAAAATATAGACAAAAAAGGCCTTTTTTCTTTGGCTTACCTCTATATAGAGACTCACTTCACAAAACACGTCCTAACAGTTGGATGTTTTTTAGAGAAAAGAGATAGACGCTATAACTTACCGGTTTGAATTGGGGCGTGATTGACAAGTTAATAATCGTTCTCATCTACCGGATATGTTTAGAATTACAGTAGAAACCTTGAGTCGACTACAAGTACCCGGCAGATAGATGGGGTTAGCAGTTTTATTTAAAAAAAAAATCGAATTTATAATAAATTTCCTAAAACTGTTGAAACGATTACAATGTGTATATCTAAAAGTAAATATTACTTATTAATCTAGTCATCAATATATAAATAAATCATATATGGATAATATGCAAACAATGAGAAGTTGCGTAGATCTAACAGTTTATCCGGCTGCTTCTTCTTTAACACGTTGACTCACAAATACGAGACAACTCGTAGATTGCGTTCTATTCTAGGACGCCAACTACGAGTTATTATATAGAGCAGATTGATTAAAATTGTCATTTTAGGCCAGATTTCTGAAAACTGCCGTCGTAGTCAAGGTGTTAAGTGCGTGTCCTTTAAGAAAGTTTGCTACCATTACGGCTATCTTCACCTTTGGTACTGTTTGCTCTGAACAGCGCAACAAACTTACAGTTTATACCACTGTCCCAAATTATTTAGCCGGGATACATGTCGTCTTACTATGCAGTCTCCTCTTATACCACGGTCCAATTTTCTTATTTTAATTGCAATGAAAACCTCCTTCTCCTTATTTATTATTTTCAAAACATCGGTTTCGTAACCTTTCCCATCGAGCTTAGTTTTAAGATCTTATGTCCACATACACTTCTATTATGTTGCTAATGTCCATGCAACTGTTTTTACTTCTACTGTTCATGCCTCCATTCCGTACAATAACAGCGAAAACACATAACACCTAGTATTTGTACTTTAAGTTGCAGGCTCCGATCATTGCTGCAAAGCACTTTTCTCATATTATTCAATGTTGATCGGACTTTCTCTATTCTTGATTTGATTTCTTGCGTATAATCGTTGTTTTGGGTTACGACTGTTATCAAATATGTATATCTGTCCGCCTTTTGAACGAGTTAGCCCTTAATCCATAACCTCTCTTGTTGCTGTGTCTTTGTAATGGTCATGAATTTCGTATTTTTGATATTTTAAGTTATTCCGTTCTCTTTGTTACTATCTACAATCTTATCCATCAGAACCTGTAATTCTTCAACCGATTCTGTAATTATTCACGTATCATCAGCGTATTTGATATTATTAATAGTTTTTCCGTTTAATTTTATTTCAACTGATGTTTCTTTTAGTGTTTCCTGAACTATCTCTTCTGACTCAATACACGTCTTCAAACGCAATATTACTTTAATGTTATGTCGGAGGAGGCGGTTATGTCGGACTTTGCCAAATTTGTGTTGCAATTAAGGAAACATACATATCGACCAAGAAGATATGCTGGGTAAAATCCATACATCTTTGTGCCAATATATTAAGGGTAAACAAAGCCTCCCTTAAATTACAAATATTAAATTTCAACAGAATAAAAGAAGGAGTGTTGAAAATTTTAGAATAAAGATTGTTTATTCCTTATTAAGTATTTCTTAAGAAGAATTAAGGTCTAGAACACAAAGGTTTCAATTCAAATTGTCCAGTCCGGTAATTTTTAAGTTAATTTTAGGGCCACGCGAAAGAACTGTAAATATTGCTATGAGAAAATTGCAGTTGCTTCTGGTAGAACATTAGCCAAAAGTAAATCCAAGAAAGTCAGCACTTTTTGCAATAGGTTCGCCCAGATAAACCATTTTTATGTTTTGAGTCTTTTGAAAACGTTCATAATCCAAATAAATAAATAATATTTTTGAATCAGCCATATTTTTTGTCTGCACATTTGAGTGGATACTGATTTTATATTTCACTAAAAAACTACCCACTTGGGGTGGACATCATAGTTTTTCGTTAAGTGGATCGCTAGTCATATTTCAATGTTCTAATATCTTGGTTTTCCCACGAGAAACCTAATGGATTTTGTGAAATTTTTCTATGATAATAAATAACCTGTTAATATTATAGTAATACTATTAATAAAGTAATAACAAAATATTGGTCCCTAATTTACCAAAATAGCAATATATTACTGTATATCATTTTTTACCGGTCTTCCACACCATGGACTTATTTATTGATACACAATTAAAACACTACTTTCATTTATATTTTTGTATTTTATTATAGGTTTACCCGAGTACAGATAATCCAAGGGATGTTATGGATGTGACAAAATGGTTGAACCCAAATGCACTAGAACTTGCAACTCCCTCGATAATAGAGCCGCATCCAAATACTTACACTTACAGTAAACGACTGGCGGAATCTTTGGTAGCAAATGAAAAGGATAACCTTCCAGTTTGCATAATTCGACCATCAATAGGTAAGATTTTTTTACTTTTAAGTAAGAAACCCTGCAAGAGTAATTTTCTATCATTACAGCATGGCTATCTTAACTTTGCTTACAGCTACTCGGAATAATCCGGTTGTAGACGTATTGAACCACTTCTCAGGTTTTGAAGCCAAGGTATTCTTCTTCATCTTGGTCCTATCTTTCCAAATACTTTGCCTTGGAGAATGAGTTGCTACAAGCCACATAGATGTTCATTTTTCATAACATAGCCACGATATTCTAATTTGCATTCTTTGATTGTGTTAATAATCTCACACTCGCATTCCTCGCCCATTCTACGTACGAGAGTACCTCAACATTAGTTGCATGATCCACCTATGAAATGCTTAAGATGCAGTGTCTGTAACACCACATGTCAAAGGCCTTGTGATTTCCTAAAGATGCTTTAGAAAATGTCGCGTTCACTGCATAATAACGTAGAAAAGACACAGCATCCGATGGTAAATGAAAACGTAGAGATTTTGGTAAAAAGTAGTAAATCGTCACTTCTGAAAAGGGACTTCGTCTTTTCAAATACTGATCTTGAAGATGCAGTGACTGTAACACCACATGTCAATAGCCTTGTGATTTCCTAAAGATGCTTTAGAAAATGTCGCGTTCACTGCATAATAACGTAGAAAAGACACAGCATCTGATGGTAAATGAAAACGTAGAGGTTTTGGTAAAAAGTAGTAAATCGTCACTTCTGAAAAGAGACTTCGTCTTTTCAAATGCTGATCTTGATTTTTCTATGCGTTGTTTTACTTCAGTCGAGTGATCACATTGGCTGTTTATGTTGGTACCAAGGTATATACCCGCTATTTACCCGGTCAATTTGCTGTTGGTTAATGAAAAGCCGCATATTTGATATTTCGCGGTTACTGACTACCATGTAGTTTGTTTTTATTTTCGTATTGAGATCCAGTCCATATTCTGTACTTGGCAACTTAAGTAATTTTAATGGCAGTACAGTAAACAATTCATACGTTCCTAAACCTAAAAAAAGTTCTAATCCTCTTAAACGAAAAGTCATATCCCCACTCAATGTAAAACTGCCATACAATTTCCTTCAACTTCTTAAATAAAAAAAATCAGTGTCACGTCCTATAATTCCTAACTCACACCGGATATGGCACATAAAGAAAAAATACAATTATAAATTCTCCAATAAATTCCATTTTCTTAAGAAATAAAAAATAAACAAATTGACCCCAAACTAGTCCCGGTTGAACTACAAAAAGTTACTCAAAATAAAATCAGAAAGGTACTTTCTTGTTTATCAGACAACGATAGTGATGAGAAATCATGGAACAATTAATTTTCTTCAGCGAAACTGTCAATCTATTATAAAACAAAAGAATGATTTGCTTAATTTTTTAGAAAGTCACATTATTAACGAAACTTCGTTATCACAAAACAAAAACTAATATATTAAAGGTTTTAATAATGTTGATCGACGTGACGGCTACGGATGCGTTGCTGTTTGAGTTTCCAACAATATTTCCTATTCAGATATAAAATTCAAAACAAATTATAATCCAAATATAGAGCTTTGCGGTGTTTTTCTAGAACAAGTAAAATTATCAGTACTATATGTTTATAAACCTACAATATATGTATCATCCAAAGGTTGGAAAAATTTATTTGGCCAAATCTAAGGCAGAATTTTAATTGGTGACGACTTTCAATAATCATCACTGTAGATGGGGTTCCATACAGGATAGTGCACAAGGCGATATTCTAGCTGATTATTTAGGTAATACTTATCTAATTTTACTCAATGACGGAAGTATTGGATGGAGTAGCTATGTTCGCGTTTACTAATTTCACATAAAACAATTATATAATTAGACAATGACGCTTCTAATTAACGTTGTGTTTAATTTCTAGTAATTCCGTCTGTTAACGAACCTGTACCGGGCTGGGTAGACAATTTGAACGGTCCGATAGGTCTACTGGTTGGAGCAGGAAAAGGAGTTATCCGATCTATGCATTGTAAAGGTGAAAATAAAGGACAGTTTGTACCAGTAGATTATGCTATTAATTCAAGTATCTGCATAAGTTATCTTGTAGGAACTAAAACAACAGGGTATGTATTTATTTACACTCAATTTTTCGCTCTGTATTTTACTGCTTTGCTAAATATTTTTACAAATAGTTGTATGATACCCCATTATTATTATCTGCACAAATAATTTTATGATCTTCACATTACCTGCTACTTCATTGAACAATGGTCTTGTATATTATTCGGTATACCATAATATCATCCTTCTTCTTACTGCGCCGTCTCGTTTCTAAGGTTGACGAGTCAATTGGTTACAGCTACTCGCAAAACAGCGTTCTTAAGATCTCGGTCGATGTTTTGTCGAGCGTTTTCCTTCAATGATCAACTGAAATATTTAGTATCTGTCTTCCATTATTACATGAACAATATACGTTAGTATACTGACGAGGTGAAGTACCTTGGTATTACCCTTGACAGGAAGTTAACATGGAACTCACACTTAGATAGTAGAGCTAAAAGATCATATATTGCCTATGAGCAGTGTCGACGAACAGTTGGACGCACCTGGGGGCTTTCGCCCAGGGTGATCGCCTGGATCTACACTGCTGTCATTAGGCCAATGCTAACTTACGGAGCTATTGCTTGGGTACCAAAAGTGCTACAAGCAACAGCGATAAACAAACTATACCATATTCAGCGGATGGCTTGCATAAATATAACAGGTGCCATGAAAACAACACCAACAGCATCACGCCTCTAGATATATATGTCAAAGAGGTGGCGCTAGTGACAATGATGCGACTGCGCTCAGCTGGTGCAAACCTTGAGGTAGGAATGGGGCAATTGAGAACTCGTTTCTAGCGGGGAGAGCTGGATGCACTACTATTGCTACAGGCAGGCTACGATTCAATTGAAAAAAAGTTTGTCTTTAACAAACCCTACAAAATCGAAACAAGAAAGTATAGGGAGACAACGTGGCAACTATTGCATATACACCAATGGATCCAAAATAAAAGAAGGCTTAGGATGCGGGATATACTCCAGATTACTGAACCTAAGAATAAAATGGGGCATGGGCAAAAATTCCAGCGTAGTTCAGACAGAACTGGCTGGTTTCTCCATAGCCGCAAAAGAGATAACCCAAAAAAGTATAGCAAGGAAAACTATAATGATCTGCACAGATAGCAGACAAGCGCTACTAACCTTGAATAGACCACGTGTCACATCAGGGTTAGTAATGGAGTGTCACGAGTCACTAACTCAGGCTTCAGATGGTAATACCATCATCCTGAGGTGGATTAAAGGACACAATAGGAATAAAGGCAACCGCATTGCTGACCAATTGGCTAGGAAGGCGGCAGGCCTAAGACTCTTAGGACCTGGAGATCTTTTTGGTTGGTCAACTACAACAATCGCGGAAATTATCAAATGTCACTTCCATACGCAAACCGTAAAAAGATGGGAAGAAGGGCAAGGATGTAAACTTGCCAGGGTAACACTAAAGTAACCTTAATATTGTTCTGAAGCTATTTTCTTGTAGCATTTTAAACTAATTACTATTTAACTGGGAATAAGCCACAATTAAAGGTTAAAATACGTTTATTGACGTTTTAATTTCCACTTCGGAAATCGTTCTTAAAATACAAACAGTAAAATTAAACAAATTTTGATTTTTGTTACTTAGGGAAAAATATACATCCCTGTCGTACACCTTTTGTTATAGCTATCTCCTCCGACATGTTACTCTCCGCTTTTACTTGCTCTATCTGATGCCAATACAGTTCTGTGATGATTCGTAAGTCACTCTCATCTATATCCGTTGCTCTCAGTATTTCTGCTATCTCTGGTGTTGAACGCAATCGAAAGCTTTGCGATATTCTATAAAGCAGACGTATATTTCCACATATTACGTGCTCTCTGTAAAAGTATATTAAGTTATAATATAATAGAGCTTCACGAGTTACCACTTCGTTGCGGTAATCGTCACATTTGGATGCTTTTTGGCTAAGGTAACGAAAATTGATTTCAGCCAATCTAAAGGTATTTTCTCAGTTCTGTAGACGATGTTGAACACATGTGTCAAAGAACTTAAGTCCAAAGCGTCTTCAGATACCAGAAACTTTATGAGTTTTAACATATACATCATAAAGTCATAAAGTCCTATGGCTCTACCATATTTCTGTCATAGGATGACATGCTGTACCTCTTTTTTAGTTGTTATAGGACTACTTTCATTGATATCATTGGTATGTGAGGGTCGTTGTGCTTGTTCGTCGTTAAAAATGTTCGTAACGTATTCTTTCGAGCAAATTTTTCTTCAGTTCCTACAAGGATCTGATTTCTACAAGGTTCGTCTTGTAATTCCTGCCTGATATTGTTCTTGCATTAATTGTTCAATTTTACAGCATTGTTCTGCCATCCATTGTTCTTTTGCTTTTCTGCACTTTCTACGAATAGTTTTATGGACTCTTAGCTACTATGATTTTCCTCCATCCAATATTTATTCCTGTTTTCATTTCTAGGTTTAATTTACCATATGTAAGATAATTATAAGACCATGTATATGTAATTTCTCATAATCCTATCAAGATCATAAGAAAGGCCAAAATTCTAAGCCGAATTTTGAAAATTGAACGCAACAAACAACTCTTTTAATATTTAAGAATAGTATTATTTAAACATTCCAAAGAATTATCATTCTATATAATAAAACAAATATTTTTAGATTAGAAGATGTGCCTGTATACAACTTAACATCTTCATCCGTTTTAACGCTGACCTACAAAGAAATTATTGATCAAGGCAGAGATTTATTATACGAGTACCCATTTGAAATGATGGTTTGGTACCCCGATGGAGATATAAGATCCTCCAAACTCGTCCATAATATATACAGTTTATTCTACCATTGGTTACCGGCATTACTGATTGACTTTATAATGATTTTAATTAGACAGAAGCCATTGTGAGTATTTATAACTATATATTTCTAATACTAGTGCTTTATTTTTATGTTAAAACTCTTTATTTGTTAACTGAAAACCACCAATAAGTTTAAAGAACTCTATAATCTAAGAAATACAAGAAAATACAAGTTTTAACAATTACAAATGAAAAAATTTCGATATACGCAACCAAACACAAATCTGTTTTGAAATATGACTCGTCTTGTACTCCCTCTATCGCTATTATATCATGATTTTTTGTCCATCTGATACATTATCACGCGGTATTAATTCATTTTAAGTTTACAATAATTAAATGCATAGTTTATTCATATACATAGTTAATCTACTATGACTGAATAAAGCATAATTATTGAGCACCGACACTCTGCTTCATCTCAATCTCTTGAATGCCAAACCTAATACCTTTCCATACTTCTTCACTATCAATTTTTCTTTCATTCTCGTACTCCCATTACCTATTATTACGTCCTACTGTTTCCCCCTTTTTCTTTAATTATTTATCATTCAATTTTACAATTTACATTATCAACTTATGACATTGACTATAATTCATCCATTACTATAAAATTTATGACCCTTTCAATTATTTGTCGTCTTTTAACATCAATAATCCTAGAAAACCCCCACTTTTTGATCATATATATATATATGTATATATATATATATATATATATATATATATATATATATATATATATATATATATATATATATAAGCGAGGTTCCTACAGCCTCTGCCGTTTCTCGCATTTCGACCGCCATCGTTTTCTGTCCATCTATTCGTCTTCTCTGATGGCTCTATCTCTCATTATGTGCCGTACATTATCTTCCCAGGCAACTGAAGGCCTTCCCCTTCTTCTTCTTTGTTGTGGTATGTAATTTAAAGCTTTCTTTGGCCATCTATCTTCATTCATTCGTTTCACGTGACCATACCACACTAGTTGCCTCGTTTCAATTCTATCTACACTGGAATATACAGTATTTGTCCTCCTTCTAATATCTTCATTCCTGATGTGATCTTTTTTGGATATACCACACGCTCTCCTTAGAAAATCCATTTCTACTTTTTGATCAAATTCAAATAATCTTTATTTTACAAATACAATTCAAAATTTCCCCTTACACATATATAACCTACACTACAGTTGACCATCAAACTTCCAATACAATTATTTTTTCTTATTCATCATTATTACCTTACACAGTCACAATTAGTTATAATATAATTATACTACAGGATATTATACTCCCCTCTCAGTGGTGTATAAAATATATTTTCTTTTCTTTCACATTTAAAAAATAATAGCTAGTGTCTAAATTTTAATAAACCGATTTAATTAAAATTCATATAGAGTTTAAGATGTGAGTCTTACTGATGTGGTTTACTTTTTAAAAAATATACAATCAATCTGGTTCCGAATGTCCGAATTAAGGACTTAAGACAATCCAAGTCCATCCGCATCATCATCATCATCATCCAGCCGAATTTTCACATCCATTGTTGGATATAGGCCTCCTCCAAACGTCTCCAGTTCTCTCTATCTCTAGCTGCTGCAATCCAGTTTGTTTCTATTCTCTTTAGGTCGTCGGTCCATCGGGTGGGTGGTCTGCCTCGACTTCGCTTGTCGGCTCTTGGTCTCTACTCCAATAATCTCTTCGTCCATCTTCCGTCTTCCATTCTAGCAACATGTCCAGCCCACCTCCACTTTTGTTTATTGATTCGCAGTATAATACCGTCTACGCCAGTTCGTCGGCGTATCTCCTCATTTCTTACTCGATCTTTCAAGGTCAGGCCCAGCATTGATCTCTCCATTCGCCTTTGTGTTACCCTCAGTTTTTCGGCAGTAGCTTTCGTTAAAGTTAAGGTCTCTGCTCCGTAGGTCAAGACTGGTAAGATGCATTGGTTAAATGCCTTCTTTTTCAGGTGAATTGGGATATTTGTTTTAAAAATGTCTCTCATCCGTCCATATGCCGCCCATCCCAACGTGATTCGTCTATTTAGCTCGCAGGTTTGGTTGTCTCTGGTAATTCTAATTTCATGACCCAAGTATGTGTATTTATCGATTAATTCTACCTTGTTGTTATTGATCTGTATCTCTTCGCTGGGAACCATATTAGTCATCATTTTGGTTTTCTCAAAATTTATCTCTAGCCCAGTTTCTTGTAGTGTGTCATTCAGTTCTTGGAGCATGTCTTTGATCTCTCCCAGATTATCTGACAGAAGCACGATATCGTCCTCAAAACGTAGATGGTTTAATCTTTCTCCATCGATGGATATTCCTTTCTATTGCCATGTTAGTATTTTAAATGCATACTCAAGAACGGTAATGAACAGCTTTGGTGACATGGTATCACCTTGCCTGACTCCCCTTTTTATCTTTATTTTATTAGTTGCAGAATATAGACTTATGGTTGTTGTGGCATTTTCATATATATTTTTAATTATATTACAATATCTGTGGTCGATCCTGCAATCTTGTAGTGCTCTTAAGATGGACGGTAGTTCCACTGTATCAAACGCCTTTTTAAAGTCTACAAATATCAATGCCAAGGGACGGTTATATTCGTTAGTTTTTTCTATTAGGGTTTTTAGGCACTGCAGGTGATCGTTTGTGCCATAATTAGGGCGGAAACCAGCTTGTTCCCGAGGTTGGTAAAAATCCAGCTTTGTCTCTAATCTATTCGATATTATTCGGGTGTATAATTTATAAAGATGGTTAAGGAGACTGATTGGTCTGTATCTTTCCAGGTCTGCTATATATCCCTTCTTGTGTAAGAGTACAGTTATTGAATTATTCCACTTTGTTGGAATATTTTGATTCCATAGGCATAGATGCGCATTGCGCAGACAGTGGTAGAGTTGGGTTCCAAAAGAGAAAAAGAAGGTAGCTTTTCTCTTTGTTTGCATACTAGAGATTATTTCACATTTCTACCCCTGATTTTTTATGAATAGTTAAAAAGATAATGGTTCTTTTTCAAACTCCGGTTTCTTGGAACTATTCTGCTAGTGCAGAATGGGATAAAGTCCATATACAGTTCAGCAACTAATAAAACATTACAATGGGCTAGTTTAATGTCATATATTATCATGTCTTTCAATATTTTGCTTAAATCGGCGTTTTTTATTTTACTACTAATGGGAAATCACGGTTAAAGTATACCTTCTTAGTACTTTTATTTGATTTTCATATTTTTTATTTCAGTATGATAAGAATACAAAAGAAAATTTATGACGGCCTGGAACTGCTGCAATTCTTTTCTGTTCGAGATTGGGTGTTTGAAAGTAAAAACTTCCTTGGGATTATGGATAAAATAAACGATGTGGATAAGGAAAAATTCCCAATGATAAACATACCTCCTATTAAACAATACATGATAAATGCTTTGGTTGGTACGCGGCAATATTGTTTGAAGGAAGATTTGTCCTCATTGCCAAGTTGCAGAAGAAAATTGAAAGTGTACGTATATAGTGAATTATGAATTGTTAAATAGATAAGTGATGAATTCAACCGTTACTTGATGGAAAGTCATTTTATATAACAATAAAACACTGAAAACTTTGTTTTCAAAACTTTCACAAAATTTATTATAATATCTTATCACTACAGCTGTTTCGGTAGATTGCCTTTCTCAAGTAATCTATTTCTCGTATGTGTTTACACTTTATAGTCTTTTACCACCGAACAACGGTTGTTCGGTGCTTTTACTGAATAGGTTAAGGAGGGGAGAACTGTTTGTCTCAAGCTAGGCGTTCAGAATTATGTCTGTATTTTTTAATTTGTCAATTTCAGAAACGGTAATTTAAGATAAGGTGCTATGTATAACTAAAATACACCTCTTTAAGATGGTTTTAGTTTTTCTTTTACTATTATAGAATGGATATTAATGGATAGCCGAATGTTGAGCAATGTTGAGCAAGTGCCCAATAAACTACAGTTTAATTTAAAAATACCAGTTTCTGATTAATCCTTGCGAGTTTAATTATGTTTTACTTTCTAATGTGAACCACTTTCCCCTACTTTTTAGCTTTCCATAACTACTTGACGTTAATTTTTGGTTTTAAAAAAGCCCATTTTCTTTATCCAATTTGGAAAAGTTTTTTCAGTGCAGTTCATGTTCCGACCGGTGAAGTCTCAAAAATTTGTAGTAACATCGCTTCTGGCGATGTACAGAGAAACAGAATCTATAAAGAAATAGGTAGGTATAAGATGACAAGAAGTACGGAGGGGTTTAATAGTATTGTTCTGAAGCTATTTTCTTGTGGCATTGTAAATTAATTACTATTAAACTGGGAGTAAGCCACAATTAAAGATAAAAATACGTTTATTGACGTTTCAATTTCCACTTCGGAAATCGTTCTCAAAATACAAACAGTAAATTAAACAAATTTTGTTTTTTGTTACATAGTGAAAAATTCTTCTAATAATTTAATTTTATCTGACTCATTTATATTGACAATTCAGACATACATTATGCATTTTGAAGTAGACGACTTTAAAATGATATTGCCAATATTGTTGAGTTGCGCTCCTGGGACGACTTTACTTATAAGATAATTCATTCGATTAAGACATGAAATCAATATATTTATGGAAGATTTTGAAACAAATATCATTTCTAAACAAAATTTCAAACCGTCGGTATGGTGGAGGTATGTAGATGATGTATTCTCAATATGGCCTCATGGATCAGAGTTGTTGGACACATTCCTAAATGATATAAACGATAAAGAAGAGACAATAACATTTACCATGGAAAAGGAATATAATAACACGCTACCTTTCCTGGATGTTTTAATCTCTAAGAACGATACTGGATATGAGACTCAGGTGTATAGAAAACCAACACACACCAATAGATATTTAAATTTCAAATCAAATCACAATATTAATGTAAAAAATGGAATAATTAAATCCTTATACGATAGAGCCAAAATTACTTGTTCTAACGAAAATTCGTTCTTGGAGGAGAAACATTTGTTAACATCTGTTTTATTAAAAAATGATTATCCTTTATCGTTTATAAATAAGGAATTTTCAACAATCGATCGAATAGACCAGAACAACTTAGAACGAGATCCTACAGCATACACAAGGAATAATATGAGGAAAATAACAATACCGTACATAAAAGGATTATCAGAAAAACTTAAAAGGATAGGAAATAAACTCAACATTTCAACAACATTCAAAACAACAAACACGTTGAGATCTATTTTGTCCAAAACCAAACCTAACAATGAACAAGAAAGGACAAAGAATTGCATTTATAAAATACCTTGTGAATGCGATCAGTTTTATTTAGGTGAATCATCCAGGCCATTAAATGTTAGAATAAGTGAACATCAATCTTATATTAAAAATAGAGAATTTGATAGATCTCAAATCTGTAAACACGCATGGGATAATGAACATAGGGTTCAATGGAATAATTTAAATGTAGTCCTAAAAGAAACGGATGGTAAAAAAAGAAAAATCAAAGAAGCGGCTCTAATTATGCTAAATGAGGCCAATTGTGTCGCAAATTCCTCGGCAGAATGTAGTAGAATCTGGTTACCAATATTGAAAGAGGAAGTTATTAATAAGAAAATACCAGTATTAGTAAGTCAGTAACATATGGAGGATGCATCATTTATGTTTTTTAAATAACGTAACATATAAAATCAGAATTTTGATGTTTGTTGAAGGTACACTAAATTCACAAACAAATACTTACAATGTCGGGATAGTATTATGAGGTTTTTTTCCTGGTTTTTCCCTCATAATTTACTATGGAATCACTAACAGGAGAATTTTACTGTCATCATGTCATGTGTTTGTCTTTTTAAAGACGAATTACATGCTATGATTTTTTTCTGACGGATATTCTCAAGTTAAAGTTGATTTCATGTAATCGAATGAACTATCTTATAAGTAAAGTCGTCCCAGGAGCGCAACTCAACAATATTGGCAATATCATTTTAAAGTCGTCTCTCATTTAAAATGCATAATGTATGTCTGAATTGCCAATATAAATGAGTCAGATAAAATTAAATTATTAGAAGAATTTTTCACTATGTAACAAAAAAACAAAATTTGTTTAATTTACTGTTTGTATTTTGAGAACGATTTCCGAGGTGGAAATTGAAACGTCAATAAACGTATTTTTATCTTTAATTGTGGCTTACTCCCAGTTTAATAGGGTTTAATAGTGTTTACAATTACATCCGAGCAGTCATTAAAAAGAAAAAAGAAAAAGAGAAACACCATCCAAACCGGAGATAAGATCTAATTACTATTTTAATGAGAATAAGCCACAATTAAACGTTAAAATAAGTTTATTGACGTTTGAATCTCCACTTTGGAATTCATTCTCAAAATAAGGTAGATGCGCTAAATATTGCCACTGTTCTTAATAGTGCCACCCAGTATTATAGATAGTAGCGACGCTGCAACTAAGGTGGCAACAGTAGCAATTATCTTTGTCTAGCAGCATCGTGTTTTCTATTCGGCGGTTTTAGTCTATGGTATCCATCAGATGTAGAAGCTCGCTATTTGTTTTTCGTGTCCTCGTTTTAAATAAACCTGCTTTTCCCGTTGACCCTACGCAAGATATATTAATTATTTTTATTTTTAATTAAGTTTAGGTAAGTACACTTCAGTGGTTATCATTTTATGAATTTCATAAATTATTGCAAATGAAATTTTAACTTACGGATTTTTTTTCTAAACGTGTCATCTGTTCATAATATTACCATTGCTAATAATTCCTACTATTGCCAGTGACAATATTAGGGACTAAATATATTAAACTCTTTTGTGGAATGCTAAGAAAACGAGCTGAGTGATTAGAAGAAGATCTACGCTCGGCGCTGTAAATCATAGCAAACGGAATGTCAATCAAGGCTGCCAAGCGTTATAACATTCCTCGCTCAACGCTAGGTCTTTATCACAGAACACATAATCCCGTAAGAAAGCTTGGAAGATCACCGGTGTTGTTTGCAGCACAAGAAAATGATCTTGTCGAAAGAATTTACACATTAGTTGAACTAGGTATGCCTATTACAAGCAAGATTCTAATGAAAAGTGTGTTTTCTTACGCTACAACAAATCACATATCAAATCTCAACTAACGAATACGGCTTGAGACCAAAAAATGAATGTTGATGACTTCTTTCCTAAACTGAGAGATACCATAGAAAAACTAAACCTATTTGACAAATCTGGTAGCATATATATTACGGACGAAAAAAGGATGCAAATTGACAACAAATAAGCAACAAATTGTTTTTGTTAAAAGGGTAGCAAAACGGGTACATTTAACCACACCCGAGCACGAAGAAAACATGTCAATTATAGGTTGCGGAAATGCGCTTGGTCAATCTGTACCGCCTTTTATGCTATTTAAAGGCCAAAAGTTTAAACTTAAATGGTATGATCTCTTGCCTCCTGACAAAGTTATTGTCACAAATAAAGATAGTACGACATGCGAAGCATTTGTTTTGTGGCTTGACCATTTCTTTTCATTCAGAAACCTTGGTCCTACCCTACTAATATTTGATGGATCTTAAAGTGACCTAGATGTTTCCATAGTTGAGGCAGATAACCACGTGTACATAACTTTATTTTGTCTTAGTGACAGCCCGCTGTCACGAGTTCCAACCTATGGACAAGTCAGTGTTTAAAAGCTTTAAGACATTTTGAGACCAAGAAGTTTTTAACAACAAACCTTGGCAAGACGATTATCAAAATGAAGTTTGGAGAAATTGTTTACCCTATTTTAGCTAAAAGCAATGACACCATCAAACATTATCTCCGGTTTTGCATTTACTGGCATTTATCCGTTTAAACCAGACGCCATACCTGAAACTGCCTTTGCACCACGTTTGATCACTCACAGAGAAGAAAACAAAGTAAATCACAGTAGCTTCCAAGATTTATCAGATGATGTTAGAAATTCTAGCAAGTCGGTGGAACCCGCATATAAAAACTAGGTGAGTACAAGCAGATATCAAGTGCCAGAGAAAATTAATAACAAAAAAAGAAGCGTTTAATTACTGTCTCAAGTAGCGAATTATTATCAGAGTTTAGTCTTTATGAAAAGATCTAAGAGGAGCAGCTACTCCAAAGATGACAGTCTACTAATTGAATTAAAATATAAACAGAGAGGCAATACGGTTATAAAAGACACAACAAAATGTAATCCGGGGTCTAATCAAGTAAAAGCTTCTTACTCCAAATGCTTAACAGTTCTATTAAAGATAAAGGACCGGAAATTAAATTATCCACCGTAAAGAAAAAGCCAGCTTTAAACAGTAAAGCCCATCAAGTTACCAAAGATTTGTTAGCACCAATACCAAAATTGAACAATCCAATCAAAGTTGTGAAAAAAGCAACGAGCAGTACGACAAAAAATCAAGTAATGAAGAATCTTGGTATATTGTTTTCTTTGTAACATCTGCAGTAAAAGAAGATATGCGTTTGTACATAGTGTACTGTTGTTGTATTCACGAAGCCTGTGTAGAACTGACTACAGGATGACAAAGAAAAGTTTACTTGCCTTCACTGTTCTATTCTATATATAAGTTATATTTTTCAGAAATGTTTGTTACGTCTGTATTATTTAATTGCTTTTATTTTTTTAGAAAAATGTGTTACTATTAATTGCAGTTCTGCAGTGTCTAATATTGACATAAAATGGGTGGCAATAATAGGAGATCTATAATCCTAATATTGCCATTCGCAACGTCAATAAAAAAGTATTCTTTATTTAGATTTTTGATATAATTAAAATAGATTGTTAAAGAAAATACATTTCTTTACTACTACTCAAATTTGTTTTCATTTATTAATAAAAGTGTAGGATTTATTTATTTAAAAGTGTGAAATTATATCCAGGAGCTCTTCCATGACGAAAGACCCATGAGTGAAGTTGATACAGACGACCAGCTGACTGGCCCTTCAATCACCAAAGAGGAGATAGAAAAGGCAATATTAAATTCAAAAAACAATAAGGCACCTTCTGGACTGGATGAAATCCCGTCAGAAATACTCAAATTACTAGATGACAGGGGAATTTCAGCACTACACAAAATATTTAATTTAATTTATGAAACTGGCTGCTATCCTCAACAGTGGTTACGCTCTACCTTTATTCCCCTGCCCAAGAAAGTCAATGCAAAATGATGTGAGGATCACAGACTCATTAGCCTGATGAGTCACACTTTAAAGATATTCTTAAAAATACTACATCAAAGATTATACAAAAAATGTGAATGGGACATCAGTGATTCCCAGTTCGGGTTTAGGCAAGGTTTAGGAACACGAGAAGCAATAGTAGCAACACAGGTGCTGGTCCAAAATTGTTACGATTAGAGGAAGGATGTGTTCTTATGCTTTTTAGATTACCAAAAAGCGTTTGATCGTGTCCAAATTAAACTAAATCCTAAATTTTAGGGACTCAAAATGGAGGTAGCATAAAAAAAATTTCGAAACCCTTCAGGCATTCAGGCATATTCTGGGTTCGCCACTGCTTTGAAGAATCATTTCTTCTTCTTCAAGTTCCACTCCTATCGGAGATTGGAAACCATTCTGGCAATTATAATTTTGTTGGTTACGCGCCTGAGTAGTTCAGTTGAACTGCATCCAAACCATTCACGGAGATTGCGTACCCACGAGATTTTACGTCTTCCTACGCTTCTTCTACCTTTGATTTTACCCTGCATTATACTCCTTAGTATTTCGTACTTTTCGCCTCTCATGATGTGCCCCAAGTATTCCAATTTCCTGATTTTTATGGAATTTAAAACTTCGCATTGTTTTCCTAGTTGTTCGAGAACTTGTTCGTTTGTTGAATAATCGTTTAAAAGGCTAGAATTCGATTTTGTTCATTCTCTCTGCTGCTTCAACTACAATAAATAGTCGGATTGTGACACCCGTACTATTCGCGAGGAATCGCAAAGTGGGCGACGCCTGTTGGTAGATTTCAAATAATTGAAAGAAGATTTGTATACATATTAGCTACTGGTTTATATTATAATTAACAATGATTTCAATATGATCACAATAGCAATGTTCCTCAATGTTCATCCTAATATAATTCACAAAAAAAATTCCATACATAAGTTTCCGCTGGACGAGAATATGAGAAAAGTTTGGCAATGCATTTTGCGAGTTGGCAAACCTATAATCAAGTACATGATTGTGTGCAGTTTACATTTTACTGAGAAGGATTACTTTCCAAGTAACTGTTGATTAAAATATTCTTTATATTTTAATATATTTATACTTAATTTACTTTATAGTAACATAGGTCTCATGAAGTTATTTTAGAAAACGTAAGACGTAATTTACAAAATATAACGTGGCCAGCTTCAAAAACTGCCTCACCCTTAACTAAAGATCTCTGCCGACCTTGCAACCACATAAACCCTTAATTGAGATAATGTAAATTTTAGAATGTAAATGAAATAGGTAATGTAAATTTTGAGATAATGTATATTTCTACTTCCTGTGTTTCAGACATACCTACTGTAAAAAAACAAACATTTAATGTTATTTTTAGTCAGGTTTGGGAGTCAATTATCTTATTTATACACTCGAATCACAAACAAATAAACTTTGAAGAACGTATTCCAACTTTTACTTTGGCAACATACACGTGTAAAAGATTTATATTCAACTTTTGATAGCTTCGAAATCAAATGACAAAATGATTTGTTTTCCCGAAGTGATCGTCCATCTTTGAAATCTTGAGCGCCTCCTGTCGGAATTGGCTATTGCGAATAAACAAATCTTTATAAATGTGTTTTGCGGAGTCCAGTGTATGGTTCTTTTAGTGATTTTTCATTGACAACGTAGAAAATAAAATAGAACCAGAATTTTTTTTGTTTTGAATTGAAATGATTTGTTCAAACTAAATCCACTACATATTAATTTATTTTTTAGGTTATACGTTATTCACAAGATAGCCGTTTATGGATTTTATTACTATTGCTTCTACCTGTTAAGTTTGCTTATTCCTCAAGTTAAAATTCTATTTGACGGGCTGAACACACTACTCAGCTTTATTCCATTAGTTGGTCGATTTTTTTCTGTCAAATAACAGTAAATTAAGCATGACCGTCGTGTCGTAATGTCTTTTTTATATAAATATAATAAATATAATAAATAGTAAAATAATAAATACTGTCTTTTATTGATAAGCCTTTGAAAATAACTTTAACGCAAAAGATCAAAGCGAAATCCATATAGACGAAAGAAGCTTCAGGGTACTAACCAGAGATTATGGGATGCTCACATAAGCATGGACAGAATACATCAATGAACTTGTCGAAGACAATATATAGACACCGAAACAATGGTTACTCTCCACCTTTTGTGCTATCCCTAAAAATACAAACGCTAAGTATTGCAGTGAATACAGAACAATATAACTAATAAGTCACATTCTCAAATTATTCCTGAAAATAATACATGGACGTATAAATAAAAAACTGGAAGAAGGAATAGATGATAGTCAATTTGGGTTGAGAAACGGACTAGGAACCAGAGAAGCGTTATTTGCTTTTAATGTGTTAGCTCAAAGATGCATGGATATGAATGTTGATGTGCATGTTTGCTACGTTAATTTTGAAAAAGCATTAAAAAAAGCACATGAAAAATTAGTCCAAATTCTAAAGACAAAAAACATAGACCACAGGGACTTACGAATACTAACAAACCTCTACAGAGCACAAATCGTAATAGATAACGAACCCAGTCCAGAAATTGAAATCAGGAGAGGAGTTAGGCAGGGATGTATTATGTCCCCATTACTATTTAATGTATATAGTGAAGCCATTTTTGAAGAAGTATTACTATCTCAAAGTGAAGGAATAATAATTAACGGAAGATCTATTAACAACATAACATAACATATGCAGATGACACCGTGATTATAGCGAGCTCTGCTGAACAACTCCAATTACTGCTAAACAAAACAAACAGGTTCTGTGAAAAATATGGACTAAAAATGAATATAAAAAAGACCAAATACATGATAATAACAAAGAAAACAAATATACCAACAAACATACAATTGGGAAATGTACCGATAGAAAGGGTTGATAAATACAAATACCTAGGAACCTGGATTTCAGACAATAATGATCAAACAACCGAAATAAGAGCTAGAATAGAAATAGCAAGAAATGCGTTTGTAAAAATGAAAACAATTCTCAGCAACAAAGATCTTAGATTAGAACTGAGAGTAAGAGCACTGAGATGCTACGTGTTTTCGATACTGCAATATGGACTTGAAAGCTGGACATCGAAGCAAGAATACATTAATAAGTTACAGTCCTTTGAAATGTGGAGTTACGGGAGGATGCTTAGAATAGCATGGACACAGAAGAAAACTAACACGGAAGTATTGCTAGAAATGGGCAAAGAATGCGAAATAATAAACGCAATAAAAATAAGAAAGTTACAATATCTGGGACACGTAATGAGGGGACAGCGATATGAACTGCTAAGGCTGATAATACAGGGAAAGATAAGTGGAGGAAGGAGCATAGGAAGAAGGAGAGTGTCATGTTTGAAGAATTTAAGGGACTGATTTAAATGCAGTAGATAAAGTAAAGATAGTGATGATTATATCCAACCTCCGATTGGGAGACGGCACTTAAAGAAGAACATAAGCATAGTAATAATTATTAATATTCAAATTGCAGGGCGCCAGACTTGTATAAAGTAATATCTTCCCTGAGGTAAGTGAGAAGAAGAAAACACCACCAAAGAGCTGCAAGAAAATGGATTAATTGTGAAAGTCGACCAATTACAAAAAGAGAGCAAAAGTTCATAAATTGATAAGAAGATTATCCAATACGCTGCTTTGCTTTGAAGAGCATAATGCTAATTAAATATAAAGAGTTATACAGGTTATAAAGGTTAATTAAGTCTGCACCATACGGGAAACTACTTTATATAAAAAAAGTTATTCTGTATAAGAAGTTCTGCATGTTCTTAAACCAAAAATATAATATATATTTTAATAAATAAATAAATATATAATATATATATATATATATATATATATATATATATATATATATATATTCAGGGATTCTACAGTAATCACTGCCTTCCCTCGCTTAACCATTTCCATCTCTTTCTGTTGTCCCATTCTCCATCGTTTAGGCATCTCTTACTCATGGCCCCGTCTACTTCGTTCCTCCAGGATCTTCGAGGTCGTCCTCTTTTCCTCCTTCTTATGGGGCTCCATTCGGTTATTCTCTTTATCTACCTGCTGTCGCTAGTTCTTCTTACATGTCCATACCACTTTAGTCTTTTTTGTTCTATATATGCTAGTATGTCTGTTTCAAGTGATGTTCTTTGTTTTATTTCGTCATTACTTCTCCTATTAATTCTTGTTACTCTGCAGCATCTTCGCAGGCATTCCATCTCTGTTGTTACTGTCTTACTTCTGTTTTTCTTGTTTATAATCCAATTTTCAGCCCCATATGTCAGAATACTTCGCGCTAATGTTTTATAAATATGTGTTTGTGTCTACATATTTTGGTACCATAATGAGTTAAGTTGTCGGATTGCTGTTCTTGTTTGTCCTAATATTTGCTTAATTTCTTCCTCTATTGTTGCCTTTTTCGTGATTATAAACCCCAAGTATTTGAATTTATCCTTTCCTTTTATTGTTACGTTGTCATCAATCTGTATAACTTCTACGTCTTCTTCACTTGAAGATAGGTACTCTGTTTTGGCGAGGTTATATCTACGCCAGCCTTGGTATATTCTTCTTGTAGTGTGGTATTGTGCAATCACTACTTGATCGTCTGCAAAGCTTATCGTATATAGGTAAAAATACATAAGAAAACATTTTAATACAAAATTATATATACTAAATTTTAAACTTACCTCTTTTAGAGCATTAATAGTAAAAACGTTCCGACATTATTTCTTGTTCAAAATAATCTATCTTATTATAAAAGCTTATCAGCTTTCTACATACTATTTAGTTGTTTTGGCATAGCACAATCACAATACACAACAACAATTAGTTTTTAAAGCTATTAATCTAAATTTAAAATGTATTTATGAATACAATTTATTAATATATATTATATTATGATTAAATTGTGTAAGAAATCAAAACAAACAAAATTTCTACTCTAAAAAAACGGCAACGCTTAATACACTTTTGCCACCCACTGAACTGTAAATAATATTTGATGTATTTCCGTATCAGTTGCGTACAATTGTCCAATATATTTAATTAAAACTATTATTTTGTGGAATATTAGACTTCAAGAGTTATTTCATAAAATTCATATTATTAATAATAATAAATGTTTTTAGTTATATCAATATAATTCTAAAATTTCCATTTCTAAATGATGATTAAATTTTTTTGATTATTACACCATGTTGACGCCTATGAAAGATGGAGCATTTCCGTATGGGTTTCGTATTATTAGCTGTGGTAGGAAAATTTGAATTCTAAGGTTGATGTTCTGGAAATTTTAAATACAAGTGACGTCACTTTGTATAAATCGTGACGTGCAAGTGTTTTACTTTGAAAAATGGTATATATGAGGTCACTTTATATAAATTGTGACGTACAACGTTTTTACTTTTAAAAATGGTATAATACTGATTAATCAATATCCAATATCCATAGAGATCGTGCGATTTTTGGAAACCGGTTATTGTTTCTGTTAGAAAAATAGAAGAATATAGGTTAGAAAACATTTTGATAGTTGTCAGCTGTACAGTTGACAAATATAAAGATATATTTATTTTAACAAAATGATTATGTTAAAACTGTTCTGCAATTGTAACAAATAATACGGTCTTCTATTTATACAATGTCAGAATTCCAAATGGATGTTCAAGAAACAGGTAACTATCAATTTAATTTAAACAAAATTAAGATAGTATTTAGAAATTTACAATAACTGTATACATTCAGAAATAATCACACATAAACCACTTTAATAGTATTTAAAAAGAAAAGAAAATTTAATATAACATCCTGGAAGCTAATACAATAATTAACAAGCTTTTAGGAGCAATTGGGGTGTTTAGTATTAAGAGACCCTTTTTTGTTAAAATAAACAAAATGTGCCTGTGGAATTACAAGCAGAATATATATTTCATTAATATAAACAAAAAAGTCACACAAAAAAAATAACATAGAAAACGCTAAAATTATGTAAGGAAACAGCTTACAATATTCTGTTAAGCTTTCAGTAATAAATAGCTTTAGCAGAGTTATTTCACTCAAGGAGATCACTAGAAATGTAGGTAGCAGGTAAAAGAATATAATAGATGTCGAGGTTAGAGTACAATATCGCTACCATAAACAAATACAAATATATTCGTATTATCAACATAAATAAACTGTAAGTAAGACTTAATGGATAATTGTAATATAAAAAAGAAAGGCATAGGAATTATGAAGATGTAAATATGTTTAAAAACTTAATTGCATGACGAAAAAAAGGATTAGCATTGTAATTCATAAATACATTCCCCAATTGAGTACTTACTTTATTACAAACACCTTTTTTACTTTTTAGATTTGATCTCCAATGATTCAGAAAATGAATGTTCACAAAGTGTGTGCTCTGATACCCACAGTGACAACACATCAGCCTCTGGACTAACAGACAAAAGTACTTTATCTGAATCAACCTTACATGCCCTTTCAGGAGGTAGTGAAGCTGATAATTTTAGTAGCCAGTCAACAGCTTTATCAGGTAAGCTAGTCTTAAAGGTATCAATAACAGATATATATTTTTTTACTAAAACATGTATTCACATACATCTTCTATCCTGTATATTTTATCATGCATGTTCTATTTAATACATCCTGATAGTATGTCTCATCCCTGTTTCTTGTTGGTCAAGTTATACAATAGTATGAGATAACAAAAAAGTTGTAACTTTCTTTGTTTTAGGACTTGACTCCAAACAAACATTTACTACAGTGATCAATAGAGGAATTGTTTTACCATGGGGAGCACAAAAAGAAAGAAGTACATCATCAGGACAACATTTAGACATGGACTTAAGACCTGGCGAGTTTGTGATGAGAAATTTATTTGCAGACTTTACAGTTATAGCAGAGAAAAAGATTGAATCTGTTATGACAGAGTCACAAGTAAGTATTTTTGTGCGAAAAATATTTAGTTATAATATCACTTTGCCGAGTACACTGGTGTTATAGCCACTAGACATATTTTATTATATATGTGTAGAAATAATATTTAAAGATTTCTATTAATGTTAACTTAAAGAAATACACAATAATAATATGTTTCATTTAATTTATATAAATGCATTATAAAGCATTTTTATGAAGAACATTTGTTTAGAACACACTGTAACTGTAATCAAATGAAGATGATATTTTGGCATAAATCGGTAACACTTATTTGACAGTTGTGGTGTTGACACTTTAGTTTTGTTTTTATTATGTACTATTAATTAAACTATGTTATTTTTTAAATAAGTGGCTCAAATTGTTTTTAACAAGATTATTTTTTAACTCTTGTTAATATTAATTTGTTTTGTTTAATCCACTTTGTGTATAATCCACTTTTGTAATAATTAGGTGACCTATTTGATTTAAAATGGATTCATCATCATCATCAGTTGGCGCTACAGCCCTTCGTGAGCCTTGGCCTGCTTCCAGATATCTGAGTTTAGGTCGCCCCCTTCTTCTTCTTCCGACCGGCCTGTTTAGCATAGTTATTTTAGTGGGATCACTCTCATCCATCCGGATAACGTGGCCCACCCACCTTAGGGTGTTTATTTTGATGGTCTTCACAATATCTGCATCACCAAAAAGTCTATAGAGTTCAAAGTTATATCGCCTTCTCCACAGACCCTGTTCGTTTACTCCGCCATATATGGTCCTCAATACTTTTCTTTCAAAGACTTGTAACTCTTCATCTTGGGTCGTCATTACCCATGTTTCCGATCCGTATTCCGTATGTGAGCACTGGGTGTATTATTGTTTTATAAAGTTTGCACTTTGTTGCTATTGACATACTTCTCGCTCTTAGTTGAGGGCCAAGGCCAAAATAACAGTGGTTAGCCACGCATATTCTTTTTTTTTATCTCGTTGGATGTGTTATTTTTGGAGTCTACCAGTGATCCTAAGTAGCAGAATTCTTCTACCATTTCTATCGTTTCGTGTTGCACCTCTAAGTTATTTTGTTGAATTCTTGATATTAATTTTACAATGGATTCAGGATTTTTTTATACTTTGGCAACTATGTCAACTTTGATCTCTGTCAATGATAATGACATGCAACAGTAAGTCAATTAGATGGACTGTAGATAGGGCTGTTTTCAAGATAAAAAAAGGTTTTAAAAACAGCTTGAATCTGGAAGTTAAAACTCAAATAAAAGATAGACATTACAAATAGTTTCAAAACAATTATACTCTGTTTGAAAATTATTTATAACAGTTTTTTATGTCACAGCTGATAATCTTCATGACTAGTTCACATTATTCCAGTCTAGTAATCCAGCGAGTTAATCTAGTCCAGTGCTGGACTGGATCATTATTCTGGAGACTGGAGACATTATTCCAGTCATTTCAAGAGCTGTAAGATCAGTAACACTATAGTGACAATACTTTAATGACTGGTACAATGTGTAAATGTAAACCAACATGTAATCAAGCACTAGATTGGCTTTTCAGACAATTCTAGTTGCACTGGAATGGGTGGACTGGAATGGAAAATAGACTGTAATTTCAATCAACTAGACTGGATTGATCACTAGAATGATATATTCCAGTGCAGGTTCACATTATTCCAGTGGGATTTGACTATTGAACTGGAATGCTACTGTAATAATGTTAACTGAGCGACAATGTAATGTAGTAACAAAGTGACCTAAATAATATCGATAAAAAGATTACAGAAAAAATATTTCTCTAAATGACTGGTGGGCTGATTTTGTTCTTAATGATTGTTTTTTTTTTTCTATAAACGAGAGAAAAAAGTAGAACGCTCAAACGCACGGCTTTTCGAATTTGCGGATGGAGTCGTATTTTGAAAACATTAGTAGATTTTCCTCTTAAACTTCCATAACCCACAAGGCACCAGCCCATAAATATTATAATAAATATAATAAATAGCAACTTTTGGTTTCTCATTTAAAAATTAGCACATTTTAAAGTTAAACGTTATGTATCATTTGTATTTGCAGGAAAAACCATTGTCGAAATCTTTACAAAGAGGTGAAGATTCAGAGTTTGATCAGCTTCTTAGTGCGTTTGGATCGGTGGCTGAACATTGTTTGCCTTCTCTTTTAAGAGCACTATTTTCATGGTACGAGAGGCAAATGTCAGAGGTCTCAAATCCAGAACAGAAAAAATCAGATATCAAGCAAAAAAGGTAAGTTTTATGTGAACTGAGATATTTAATCATCTAGGATATGGATTATATCAGGCATATGTTGGAAATCTCTCTATATAAAAGTCTAGGACAACGTCACACTATTTGTCCAATAGGGTAACTACGCCACCTAGGAAAGAAATCTGAACTAACAACATCTGATATTTCAATCATATTTTGTTGTTGAAACCATACATTTAATTAATAATACTAAAAATATTAATTACATATTAATGTAATTACTGTTATTAGTTACTGTAATTTTAAGGTATGATTTAATAAGCAAAATAATTTAAATCTTTATGTTAGTTTAGATTTAATTCATAGCTCCACCTAGGAAAGAAATCTGAACTACTAACTGACATTTCAACCTATGAGTCAATCGTATTTTGTTCTTGAAACGATATGTTTAATAAAGTGACTTCTCTATCTTTAACACTTACTCCCCAGAGAGAGTGTACTGGTTATTGTGATGTCGTGTGTTGTCCATATCCAAAGATCTCTGCCTCTGGTCATTCCTTGTAACTCATTCATAGGTCTTTTGCATATGCCTGCAATTTGATCGATCCATCTTGCTGGGGATCTTCCTTGTGATCTTCGGCCATCTACATTTCCTTGGATAATAAGTATTTCCCTGTTTTCTGTGTCGGCTCTCATTTCCATGTCCAAAGTATGTTAATTGTTGGAGATGGACTCTGCTGGATAGCCGTTTGATGACTTTTAGCTTATTTAAAATTGAAATATTTGTCTATATTTCTTTTCTCCGCCTATCGTATGTCGTATCGGTCCAAGATTCACATCCGTATGTCAGTATTTAGAATATTATGCAGTTGATCAACATCATTTTTAGAGTTCATGGAATTTGAGAGTACTTTTTATTCCTAGAGTACGTTTTATTTCTTCCTGTAGTGACCCTGTGTTTGTGATCAATATTCTCAGATATAAGTATGAGCTCACAACCTCAAACCGGTCAATCGTGGTTATGTATGGATGATTGTTATGTAGTCTATCCACGAAAGTGACTTATTTCGGGCGGCAGACTGTGGTAACCAACACTGCTCGCCAGGGCTGTCGAAGGAAATATAGTTGATGTTAAGTTAATTATTATTAATTCTCGTAATAGTTCATTGTTTGTTTAATTCGCCACATTAACAATCTATCTATATAAAAGGCTAAGACAGTTTGTCTGGTACGATAACTGCTATCGCTACTTTGGAAAGAAGTATGAACTACCAACTGACATTTTAATCCTATTTTGTTTTTGGAACGATACGTTTGATTTATTGCTAATTCATTCTACAAATTTGATTATTCAAATATTTTTGGGTGTTTTGTGGTGGGGATAGATTACATAGTTCGTCTGATCGTGACGTATGATACATCATTGGAAAGGAGACAGTAGGGAATATGTTGGAACAGAACAAATTTCCGTTGTTTTTGATCAGATTGGAGCGTGTGAAATGGAAAGGATATAAAGAATACAATAAGATAGAACAAACAAACAAGGCCACTATCAAAAGGGCACTACACTTTGTCTTCATTATTAATGAACGTATAGTTACATACGAGATATCATAGGACACTATGGATGAAAATAGATTAATTAAAAGACAAATTTTGATTTATTTACTTAAAGAAGACTTCTGGCTGAGTCCAAAATAAACAACTGATCGAAAAGTAACATGCGACATAGTAAATAAAAAGAGAGCTTTATTAGTCTCTCCTTTAGGTTAATTCGTTTTTAATTTTTATATATTTTTTAAAAAAATTACTTTATGTTTTTAGCATTATAAACATAGTAGCCGGAAACACTACTGAAACCATAGAGCGATCCGAAGCCGACATTCAAAAGGAGAAAAGAGATCTTGCTGTCGAGTTCATCTTCTGTTTAGTATTAATTGAGGTTTTAAAACAAATGGGATTACATCCAGGTCATGAAGATTTGGTGCAGTACATTGAAAATTTGGCATTGAAACATTTTAAACATCATGAAGGGTTTGTATATATTTAGTAAATTAGTGTTTTTTCTTTTTATCTAAATATATAGTTTTTACGTGAGAATGGCAACGGTGTACTAACCGGATAAAAGTCAATTTATTTTTCTTCTAACAAAATCCCAAATATCGCGATTAGTAGCAAAAAATAATTTACTGTTTGTTTACTTATGTGAATTTAAAAAGGCTTCGTAATACCGCAGTGAGAAATTTCTGGAAAAAAACTCGCTTTCGTTAAAAACTAGTATTTGAAATGATAAAAGTAAGGTTATTTACAATTCGAAACAGTCATACTGATTACTGGTGGAACTCTGCTGTTAGTTTTGCGACGTTGCCAAAGTTAAAAATAGTTCTGCAAACTGAGGACGGATAGGAACTGGATTTTTGAGCTGTTAAAGCGAATCTATACCTTATTCCATTAAGCGGTGCAGGGCATATAAACAACGATAAATTTAACAGACAATTGTTAAAGATGTTACAAATGAGTCTACTCGTTCCGATAAGTAACAGTATAATTATGACACTTTATTATTTTTTTTCTTTTCTCAAATATTCGTGTTTATTGCATAGTAAATAAATTAATGTTATCACTGAATACAAAGTAAGTGAAAAAATACTCCGATTTATAAAATTAATGAATATTTTATGCATAAATGCAAGTAACAGTTCATCAAAAATATTTAAAAACTAACCGGAATGTCTTCATCTTTATTTCGTCTGGCGATGTTATCGGCGGTTCATACCGGTTCGGACACGATTTAATGTTTATATTTTCCTGCACCGCTTAATGAATTTTACTATAGTTACTTTTGCGGTCCTTAGAAACAGATATGATGTACACGGACAGTGATGATAACGCGTCAGAAGGCTAGAGGAGAAAAAATAGAGGGTCAACTTCACCTTTCCTGAAGATAAAAAAAAACTGCCAGAACCCCAAGCAAATCCAAAAACCAAAGGAAGAAGATTCAGAGGATGTTGACGACGTTATCAACATGTTCAAGAAGATGAAGGGGGAACTGAAAGAAATCAGGAATGAAAATAAGGAATATAGAGAAGAGATGGTAGCACTGAAAAAAGAAAATATAAAGATAAATCAAGAATTGGAAGAAACAAAAAACAAATTAACCCAGGTTGAAAACAAAGTAGAAAGAATTGAAAAACAGATGAAAAGATATAACATAGTAATTACGTGTCTACCAATAAACGCAACAGATGAAACACTCTTAAAAAAATAACGTAAAAGATTTTTTTTTTTTTTTAAGATAAAAATACGTTTATTGACGTTTCAATTTCCAATTCGGAAATCGTTCTCAAAATACAAACAGTAAATTAAACAAATTTTGTTTTTTGTTACATAGTGAAAAAATTCTTCTAATAATTTAATTTTATCTGACTCATTTATATTGACAATTCAGACATACATTATGCATTTTAAAGTAGACGACTTTAAAATGATATTGTCAATATTGTTGAGTTGCGCTCCTGGGAACGACTTTACTTATAAGATAGTTCATTCGATTACATGAAATCAACTTTAACTTGAGAATATCCGTCAGAAAAAATCATACCATGTAATTCGTCTTTAAAAAGACAAACACATGACATGATGACAGTAAAATTCTCCTGTTAGTGATTCCATAGTAAATTTTTCCAAATAAAAGATTTTATACAAAAGCACCTAAAAGATGATGAGATGAAACAATATATGTCTGGTACAAATGAAGGATTATGGCAAAAAAATTAAAATAATGAAAGAAAAATAAATATATGGACAATATAAAATTACAAGAAAAATGAAATAAATTTTTTTACAAAGAGGTAAAATTCATTAAAACTGGGTACCAGGGAAAAACGTTGAATGTAAAAGATAAGCAAGAAAACCGGATAGTGATGCTAAATGACGGAGTGACTACTGAAGAAAATTGTTATGTTCCTAAACCTCAAATAGTAATAGTAGAAATACCAAAGTCCACAAGAAAATAAATTGAAGAAATAATGAAAGATATGAAAAATCAAAAAAGTCCCGGGGAGAGCGGCATTGTGACAGAGAACATAAAATATGGAGGAGAGGCCTAGACCATGGACGTATAAATAAAGACTGATTCGGGAAAGCTCTAAAATGGGACTGAAAGTTAATATTAATAAATCTAAGTACATGGAGATCTCGAGAAAAAAGTAATAAACACCAGGGATCCTGTGATTAAAAAAAAAAGAATGTCAGAAGTGGGATTCGAACCCACGCCCACAGAGTGGACCAGAACGCTCGCACACCCGTTGAAACGGGCAAGGTAAACCTTGAGTCTGGCGCCTTAGACCGCTCGGCCATCCTGACATAATCCTGGAGCAATGCTTTTTATTAAAAATTGACTAGTTTATCAGTCTGAAGTAATTTATTTATCGGAATGCAATATATATATATATATATATATATATATATATATATATATATATATATATATATATATATATAATATATATATATATATAATATAAACAATCTTATGCATTTAGATATAAAATATAAACATTTTTAAATAATAATTTTTATTATTTCGATTTTTAAATCGACTTTCCTATATTAAACAAAGATACGTATTAATAAACTATCATTCTCACTTATTAAAAAAAATAAAAAAAAGTAATGTCAGAAGTGGGATTCGAACCCACGCCCACAGAGTGGACCAGAACGCTCGCACACCCGTTAAACGGGCAAGGTAAACCTTGAGTCTGGCGCCTTAGACCGCTCGGCCATCCTGACATATATGCTTGAAGCGATATTTTTTTACAGTGGCGTCGCTACTGTTTCCAATCCCAAACGATTTTATAAATAAAATTAATGTTTTCTAAATTATTATAAAATTCTATTCTTTATTTGGATTTAGAAAAATTTTTATTTGTTAAGTAGAATCTTTAAAAATATTTCTTCTGTCTATTTATGAGTTTAGTATTTCTTTTAATGAGTTAAAATGTTGATAAAATGAGGCAAAAATACTGGTTATTTTCCAATTGTCTAATTATTACTTAGACTAGAAATATTTTATAAAATTGCTTTGTTAATGCAAATGTTTTTAACATAACATTAAATTAACATTGTATACACATTAATGTTTTTTATACTGAACTCTGTAGTGCCGTATCCTATACATTATTTTGAATGTCTTAAAGGATCAATAAAGTATGACTATGACATAGACCTTTATTTTTAAGCCAGTTCTTATTGTTGAAAATCTGTATTTTCTGTCTTAAAATTTTCGCATTTTCCTTTCTTTGGTTGTCTCTTTTCTTTTAAATGTTCTGCAAAATATGTAGTTACAATTTCTTTTTGTTCTTGAATCGGAATAAAATTCTTTGATTTAGTTGTTTACGAATTAAGCAAACAGTTTCTAAAATATATAAAGAGGGAAGAGTTAAAATCCGTGATTTTTGAAGTAGCTTCTGCAATGTGTTATTCTACTGAGGCCAAAAAGATACCGTATTGCTCTTTTTTCTAATTTAAAAATAACATCAGATTGGGCAGCTGTACTAGAACCGCAAAAAGGAAGACCATATCGAAGATGAGACTCGAACAAAGAAAAATATGGTATTTTGGAAGATCCTAAATTGATTTCCTTAGAAACAGATCTTATTGCATAGCAGTAGCCTAGTTTTTTACTTAACAAATCGATATGAAGGGGCCATTTAAGATTGTTGTCTATAAAAATAACAAGAAATTTTACAGAATCAACGATACTGATCTGGCTATTATTAAGAAGCAAATGTTGAAGAGCTCCTTATAATGCTCTTGTCTTATCTACGTTAAAAGAGAGTAAGTTAGAGTCGGACCAGGTTTTTATTTTAAGTAGATCAGAAGTTATAATTGCATGAAGAGTTTCAATATTAGAGTTCCTCCAGATAATACTGATATCATCAGCAAAAAGAAAAAAATTTCCATCTATTTTTAAGTTATTGATGTCATTTATAAAGATAAGGAAAAGTAGAGGACCCAATAATAGAGACCAGGGCTTCCAACACAATTTTTGGGAGATTTAAGAAACTTTTTATGGATAGTCCATCAGTACTACAAGAAGATTTGCTTTTGATACTACTGATTGTTTGGTTCAGTTCAGATTTATCAACTGGTCTTATAAAGAATGAATTCGAGACCTTTTTGAATTGGGGAGATAGGAAATAGGATCTTGTTGTGGCAAAATAGTTAATGTTATATTTTTACTCACATTAACGAAGTATTCATTTAGATTTCCAGGGTTTGGAAGAGAAGAAGACATGAATATTTCACTCGGCGATGTTAGAAAGACAGCACATATTGAGGTTTTGTTTGGAACTGATATTGTAGGCAAATTGTATACAAGGAGGAAATATCAGTTACAGTGTGGTCTTGTAGCAGTTGAAAATTTGTTAGGTTGGACTCTTATGAGGAAGGTGCCGGCAGTTGCTTCTAATTTTAGTATAAGTATGATTACATTTTCGTTGTCCGTTGATAATTCTTCTGTAGCGAGACTCTGGGAGCTTGTCGTTATTGGGATAACCGACTCCGTAGAAAAATTGACACGAGAAGTGGCGGCCAAAGAGGCTAAGAAGTTTTTTTATAAGACTGTCCGATGTGACTGCGAAGGCAGGAATGGGGTTATTTTACCTTGATTAAACGAGCATCCTTTAATTTTAGATAATTTACTTGTCGCTAGGAGAAGGTTAGTCAGTCGAATTTGTACCACTGAAGCAAACTGTATTAAATAAAACTTTGAAGTCACATTTGTGTATTTGAATACAAAAGTAAATTTTTTGTAATATAAATTTAATCTTGTATTTTTTCGAACCAGGAATCTTTTGTAAAAATTTGTAGATAGTTAAAAATTTGTAGAAAGTTATGGATGACATTTTAGGCACTTTTATCAATGAAAAAATTAGTGTGCTTATACGGACGCTATTCTGATGGTAAAAAGAAAATGTATATATAAAGCATGTGTAATCAAATATATATTAGCCATGATAAATAGTTAGTTAAAATATTTTAACCTTTTTAGAATCCAGAACAGCCCAAATAGCGCTAACATCCACATGATATCCGACTTGTACGCTGAAGTTATCGGAGTTCTCGCACAGTCTCGTTTTCTATCAGTACGAACTCGTTTTATGGCAGAATTGAAAGAATTGCGTTCTAGAGAGTCCAATCCAAATACAACGCAAAGTATCATCAGTTTATTGATGGGTATGAAATTTTTTCGCGTGAAAATGGTACCAATAGAAGAATTCGAAGCTTCTTTCCAATTTATGCAAGAATGTGCCCAATACTTTTTAGAAGTAAAGGATAAAGATATTAAGCATGCGTTGGCTGGTTTGTTTGTCGAAATTTTAGTTCCAGTTGCAGCAGTAAGTTAATTTTTATTTATAAGGATATAATAAATATATATAGTTATAGTTGTTAGAAGTGTAGGTAGCTCCAGCTTGTCAGCCTGAGTATACTTTTCCAAAGGTTTCTAGTGCGCTGAATACGAATCTAGTCTCTAAATTGCCGAATTTTTCTCTCAGTGCGACAGAGAAAATTGACGCAAAGCAGTCCCTGCATATCTTTCTAATTTGGCAGGTTTATCGACCACGTGTCCTAAATGACCAATGAGAAGGTCATGTGGTCGATAAACCCGGCCCATTAGAAAGAGATGTAGTGACTGCTTTGCATCAGTCTATTTGTATTATATGTCTATGGTTTTTGGCTATTTTTGAGGTTATGTAGACCCGCTTAATACGCCTAATACCTTAAAGTATAAGTCTTTTTCTTTCAATTGTGTATGGGTCAATAATAACAATGGGTATAAATTTAGGTTTACATTTTTTATATAAAATTTATCTCGCTTTAATTCAAACGTTGTGTGAGGGTCTTACCTATGTTCAACTGAAACGTCATTTCTCTTAAGTGACCAGCAGTAATCTGCCATCATTCGTACATCAAAACGACCTCGAAAATGTCGCTTCTTCTGCTTGAAATCTTGGTGAAATCGCTTTTCCACTATTCGCTGAATGCATCTACATTTTCTGGGAAATAATTTAAATTAGAAAATAGAAAGTTTATATTCAAGCTCATTAGACAGACTAGTTTTAATTTTTTTAGCATTGTTGATACGATTGTTTTGTAATCTGTATCTCGATGATTTCCTAGAAAATTGTGGACCACTTCTTTAAAACTAACCCTTGCTTCTTTTGCTGTATCATAGTTTTTTTTAAATTTTCATCTTTCATTAGCTCCCTAATGTAAGGGTCTAGTTAGGTGGGCTTTTCTGCTTGTGGATTAAAAGTTATGGTTTCTAAGTGTTGTTTGGGTTTGGGGTGTGTAGATTTGACATTTTTGGTATAAGGTTTTATGAGTTTAGGATTTCCAAATTTAGTTGTTCCGTTATATTATATAATCATATGATGAAAAGGTTTTTAATGTGAGTCCATATTACTAGTATATGGGAAATGAGTCAATACTCTCAATTTTAAGTAGTTTTTATTTAATAAAGTTGGTAAATTTTGAGCTACCGTTCAAGCTTTAAACCCGCAGCCCAAAATTTACCAACCTTATTAAATAAAAACTACTTAATACTGTGACTATTAACTCATTTCTCATGTACTAGTATAATCTATGGTTTGTAGGTTTTTTAATACCAATAAACTTAAAAATGCGATATCTCAACGAAAAAATAAGATATCTAATATTTTGTCCATTTTCGAGGTTACCTACTATCTAGCATCGTAATATGATTTTTTTACCATAAACTGATATAATCATCGTAGATTTTGGACAAGTGGCGATTTATTTTTGAACATAGCACGATACATTTCTTTTACACAATATACATAAACCAACGATGCTCCAACTTCTTTGACTTGTCTGAAAAATACGTTTTCTCGAAGTCTGCAAAGGGGTCTCAGGGGTGACGATGACCTCCTCATTAGACTCAAATTCCTGCTCGACAGAGTGACTTTTTTAAGTTTGGAAACAAGAAGAAATTGCACTTAGCCAAATCTGGAAGTACATTGGATGGGGTAGCAGTTCGTAGCCGAATTCGACCAATTTGGGCGTGGTGACTGCGCAGGTGTGAGCCAGTGTGTTTCATGGCTGAAGAGCATTTTTTTCTTTACCAAATTGGGCCGCAATTACTGCAATTAATTTTTACTGCAATGTGGCGTCGAATTGGCCCAATAATTCGGTATAGTAGAACGCTATGAAGCGTCAGTTAAAGTCTACTGTTTGGACTATTCCTTGGTGTCATGTTGTGTACTAATGGATCCATGTTTCGTCGAAGGTCACGGAACCACATAGAAACTCCTTCGAATTGCGCTTAAACAGCGTGAAACACTGCTCTGAAGTAGTTTTACGGTTGCGTTCGTTGTTCAGGTGAGCAAATGTGGCAACCATTGCCTCGACAGCTTTCTTATTCCCAAAATTCCACGCTGATCCACGAGGTCTCTTTAGATGTCTACTGCCTCAGCTATCTCCGCATCTTCTATCGTCGGTCTGCCAATACACAATCGTGGAAATTTGTAACGTTATTCTTCGTTGTAGCCGTTTTCGAGGAACCTGTACGTAGCTCAACAAAAACCGACGTATTACCACTTTAAAACTCAAACCAATTTTTGACGGTTGCCATCGTAGGAGAAAATCTGCGCCATTTCCCTTTCAATAACAAGAATCGAATCAATGACTGATATTGCTCTTTTGCTTTTTTGAACTCTGTATACACGCCCGCTTCCACACGTGTCAAAACAAAGTACTACTCCGATTGTACTGAAATTCTGACAGTAGATGTCTACGGGAGAGTACGTCAAAGAAGTGTAGTGGTTAGGTTTAATATCAGTTGGCTTTTAACCACCCTTCCTGACATAAGAAGTGCATTGGTTAATGATCAGTGTAGTAGTGTCTGAGGATGTCGAGGGTTCGGCGCAATGATAATCGTTGCGTCCTAAAATTTATATTTTCTGCTATATTTAAACGTTTTTTTGTTCTACCAATTATATAATAAATGTAAATTTTGTTTTTAGGCAGTTAAAAATGAAGTCAACGTTCCATGTTTAAAGAATTTCGTAGAAATGCTGTACTCTCAAACTTTAGACGCCAGTACAAAATCTAAACATCGTTTGGCTTTATTTCCTCTGGTAACTTGTTTGTTATGTGTCAGTCAGAAACCTTTCTTTCTACAAAACTGGCATTGTTTTTTGGCGATGTGCTTATCGCATCTAAAAAATAGAGATCCGAAAATGTGTCGAGTTGCATTAGGTAAGATTAAACAAAATAATATTAAATGAAGTTTATTACATTTTAAAATAGTTTTAATTTTTTCTGTTGTAAGGGTTTTCATAAAATACCGATTTACAAAGTATATTAAGGCCGCTACAACCGGTTAAAATGACTTCTAATGTCTTCACTATATGTCTTAATAGATCATCATCTACACTTCTCTCTCACCCTTGCGTTCCATCTCTCACTACACTTCTTAAAACACTCCAGCTCTCATATTTTCCGCAAGTTCTTCCTCATTTATCACGCATGGTTCCTCTATATTTTAACAAAAATCAATTAAATCTCTTATTCTTTCCTTACTCTACCTACCCTTTTGAGTTATAGTTTTTATCTGTAGTTTATTCTACTTTTATATGATGATCATTATCGGGAATCACAATGGCTTCTGATTTCATTCTCTAATAAATTCTTATTCTTTGGGTGCCGTCTTCTTAGCGAAGGTTGGTAATAACCTCTACAAAGTCTTCTCTATTTTGGGCTTTCCTTATTAAACTTTGAAAGTCTAATCCGGTCCAATCTGTGATGTTGCGCAGCCAGGTCATTTGTCGTCTACCCGGGCCGCGTCTGCCTTCTATTTTTCCTTCTATAATAAGCTGAAGGAAGGTATACCTGTCGTGTCTAAATATGTGTCCAAGATAAGACGTTTTACGCTTCTTGATAATTTCTGTGAATTCACGTTCTCTATTCATACGCCTTAAAACTTCTTCATTTCTAACGCGGTCGGTCCATGGAATTTTCAGCATACGACGAAATACCCACATCTCAAAGCTCTCTAAACGTCACAACGAGCTGGCTGTTATCGTCCAAGCTTCTACGTCGTGTAATAGTACACTATATACGAATATTTGACGAGTTTCTTAATGTATAACAAAGAAACAAAATTAGTATTGTTTATAATTACATTTGTGTGTCAAGCAGTGGCTACAATTTGTTTCATTTGTTGTTGTCTGTACATATTATATAAGTTATGCAATAATTTTACTAATTTAAAATTGTATTATACTGTTTTTTTATTATATTTGTTTTTGTTTTATTTTTCTACTTTTGACTGATTTTTTATTTTTTTTTAGATTTATCCATAGAATTGTTCAATAATTTTCAGTGACAATAAAGCATATTTCTATTCTATACATAACACTTTATCATGCGGCATCGTAGGGACAAATCAAGATTACGGGAAGTGTGTAACTGTCGCATCTTTAAGAAGGTGTTTCTTGCCTGTTCTATTCTACAATTTTTAACCTCTTGTTCTTGGTCTAAGGTTTCATGTTTCCAACAGCCTAGATACTTAAACCTTTTCACTTGTTCAACTAGATTATTGTTGACTAGTATGTTTATAACTGGTGTGTGTTTTTTTGAAATTACCATTGTTTTGGTTTTTTTTACATTCACCTTAAGGCCGTATAGTTCTCCTTCTCGCACTACTTTGGTTAACAGGATTTGTGGTTCTTCTTCACTGCCAGCAATCAGTACTGTATCATCGGCATACCTGATATTGTTCACGATTTTTCCATTGACTTTTATTCCTTCTTGTGCTTCATCCAGAGCATGTGCAAAGAATAATAATGGGTGATAGTATACAACCTTGTCTAACTCCTCTTTGAATGATTATGATTTCAGTATCACCCATTTCAGTTCTGACAGGCGTTTTGGTTCCAGTAGAGTCCACTTATTGTATTAATGTCGTTTGGATCAGACATGCGGTGATTATCGAACAATAAGTCTGATGAGTCACGTTTTGAAGATCTTCCTGCGAGTAATACACAGCAGAATTTACACGCTGTTAGAGGACAGAATTAGCAATACTCAATTTGGGTTTAGGAGTGGCTTGGGTACAAGAGAAGCCTTGTTTAGTATACAGGTGCTAGTACAGAGATGCAGAGATATAAATCAAAATCTGTACATTTGTGCAATCGATTTTAAAAAAGCTTTTGACAAAGTCCGACATAACAAAATGCTAGAAATATTGGAAACAGCTGGATTGGACGATAAAGATCTACAAATCATTACAAATCTATACTGGCATCAAGTGGCAAGAATAAAGGTTGAACAAGAACTGTCGGATGAAATAAATATAAAAAGAGGAGTGAGACAAGGCTGTATATTGTCGCCTTTACTTTTTAACTTATATTCGGAGGAAATATTTAAGGAAGCCTTAATGGAGACAACCGAAGGTATTATTGTGAATGGTGTATCCGTCAACAATATTAGATATGCCGACGATACCTTAGTCCTTGCCAATTGCGGAGAAGACCTTCAAAATGTAATGAACAAAATAAAACAGACTTGTGATCAGTATGGATTAAAACTCAACGTTAAGAAAACGAAATATATGATAGTTAGCAAACAAAATTATATACAGATGACGGTATAAAAGTCGGAGATGCCACACTGGACAGAGTAGAGAAACTCGTGTATCTCGGCAGTAATATCAATGAGAGCTGGGATCCAACCGCAGAAATTAAAAGCCGAATAGAACAAGCCCGAGCTGCCTTTGTAAAAATGAGAAACGTACTTTGCAGTCACGATCTTAGCATTGACCTTAGAGTTCGTATAGACATCCTGCTACATCTTTCCTGTCCTGCTGTATGGAGTGAAGCGTGGACTCTAACTAAGGCTATGCTTAAACGCTTGACAGCCTTTGAGATGTGGGTATACAGACGACTACTGAAAATAAGCTGGGTCGACATAATTAGAAATGAGGAGGTCCTTAGACGGCTGAGCTAAACAACACAACTGGTCAATATAATAAAGAAACGCAAGCTGGAATACTTCGGTCACATTATGAGACACCCTGAAAAATATGATCTTTTACATCTGATCATTCAGGGAAAGATCCAACGTAATCGTGGTCCTGGTAGACGAAGAACATCATGGCTGAAAAATCTAAGGCAATGGTATGGAAAATCAACTACATCGTTATTTAGAGCTGCTGTCAATAAAGTCACGATAGCGAATATGGTAGCCAACATGATATCCAACGATCGATAACGGTCATAGAACTAGAAGAAGAAGTCGTTTGGATCCAGTTCTTTTTATTAGCTGATCGTGTTTGACTTTGTCAAAAGCCTTTTCATAATCTATTAAGCACAAGTAGACATCTTTTTATTGATCTAACTAATAAATAATAAATAGAAAATAAGTAACTTCAGCACACTTTGACCCCGAAGGAGGCAACGAACGACCTTAACAAGTCATACAGAGTCCTCATGTTGTGACATCTTTCTTCGTCAACCATTTTCAATTCAATACTGAATGTAGGTCTCCCCTATTTGTTCTCACTTTCAGTATTTTCAATTTTACTATTGCAATTAATTATTATATTTATTAATCAAATAAAATTTAATTAAATGAAATTATTTCAGAGTCTCTGTATCGTCTTCTGTGGGTGTACATGATCAGAATAAAATGCGAAAGTAATCAAGCTACACAATCTCGCCTCCAGAGCATCGTCAACTCACTCTTTCCAAAAGGCTCTAAAGGTGTTGTACCGAGAGACACCCCGTTAAACATTTTCGTGAAGATCATCCAGTTCATAGCTCAAGAACGTCTGGATTTTGCCATGCGAGAAATTGTTTTTGATCTGTTGTCAGTAGCTCGGCCATTTAAAGTGATTTTAACGCCCGAACGTATGAGTATAGGCTTAAGAGCCTTTTTGGTAGTTGCTGATAGTCTGCAACAAAAGGAAGGAGATCCACCGATGCCGAGATCTGTAGGAGTGCTACCCAGTGGTAATACTTTACGAGTAAGAAAAACATTTTTAAATAAAATGTTGACCGAGGACACAGCTAGAAGCATCGGAATGAATGCATACTTTACTCACGTTAGAAGAGTTTTTGTTGATATTTTAAGGGCATTGGACACGCAATATGGTCGACCTTTGATGATGACCAATACTCAGAATGTTAATAAAGAACCCGATGAGATGATAACCGGAGAAAGAAAGCCTAGGATTGAGCTATTCAGGTAACTTTTTTTACTTTTTGTCAAAAATAAATATCTTTTATCAAAAATAAATGTAACTAAGAATAGAATACAATATTCTTCATTGAAATTTACATCTTGGTCGGTGTTAATCCATAATACAGAGCTATTAAATCGGTCAGTCATTTCCAGAATCTGCTTTGTTGAATAAATTAATCTGACATTTTCGTGATTTGGAATTGTTTAGGTACATAATTTTACTTTTGGTTTTCCCTAGTTATTCTTTGTTTGTGTTTATTACACTATTTTAAAGGTTTTCCATTGGTTTAATGTAAAGAAAGTGTAAGTGATTTAAATTACTTTAATTAATTGGAAAATGCCACATCTGTTTTCAATATCAGAATATGAAAACACTATTTTTGTGACGCAAATGGTGCCAGTAGATACTTTCAAAGACGATTTCCAGAACATCCAGTTCCGAATCATCAAACGTTTGGATTAGTAATTAACTATTTAACAGAAAATGTGTGTGTGTGTGTGTGTGTGTGTTTTTATCTTAATTTCATTGTATTTACTGTTAAAAATAATTTTAAACTTATTGTAGCATATTAGGGTTCAGCTTAGGGTTCATATTATCCTGGCACAGATGTACCAACAGATCACAATATTTTAGTAGGAAAAATAAGACTGAGATTAAAAAGAGTTGCAAGGACGAATAACCAAACAGTTATTATTGATAGAGAAAAGATGCTAAATGATACTGTAAAACAAGAAATAACTATATATTAAGAACAAAAAATGAAGTTAACATCAAGCAAAGCAGAAAGTACTGAGGAAAACTGGACGAGAATTAAAGACATCTTAAAGACTGTTCAATAAACACGATTGAGTGCGCTAAAAGCAAGAAAAAAACAAGGGTGGGTGACAGAAGAAATACTGAGACTTATGGATCAAAGAGGAGAAGTCAGAAATAAAGATAAAAACGAATACAAGAGGATCCACGCAATAATCAGGCAGAAAATAAGACACGCGAAAACACAATTTCATAGTAAAGAATGTAATGAAATTGAACAATTTGAAAATAAACACGATACATTCATCTGCACAAGAAATTAAAAGAGGTCGCTGGAAACAAACGGAAACAAGTATCCCAAAGTTTAGAAGACAGAAACGGACACAGAATATTAGACATCAATGAACAGTTAAAAGAATGGGAAAACTACATTTCTGAATTATTTGAGAGAGTAGAACACTATACACTGATTGCTATATCAGGTCCATCTATAACAGAAAGTGAGGTTACACGTTCAATACAAACGGCAAAAAATGGAAAAGCACTTGGCCCCGATGAAGTAAGTGCTGAAATACTAAAGTTTTTGGGAGAAAATGGAATTAAAGCTCTGTGTAATCTCTTTAACAGAACTTATGACACTAGGATATTACCAAGTATTGGTTAAAGTCGACATTTGTCACAATACCTAAGAAACATCGTCCAAAGACATGCCGTGATTATCGACAATAAGTCTGATCAGTCACGTTTTGAAGATCTTCCTGCGAGTAATACACAGCATAATTTACACGCTGTTAGAGACAGAATTAGCAATACTCAATTTGGGTTTAGAGCGGCTTGGGTACAAGAGAAGCCTTGTTTAATATACAGGTGCTAGTACAGAGATGCAGAGATATAAATCAAAATGTGTAGATTTGTGCGCAATCGATTTTGAAAAGGCTTTTGACAAAGTACGACATAACAAAATGCTAGAAATATTGGAAACGGCTGGATTGGACGTATAAAGATCTACGAATAATTACAAATCTATACTGCCATCAAGTGGCAAGAATAAAAGTTGAACCAAGCTGTCGGATGAAATAAATATAAAAAGAGGATTGAGACAAGGCTGTATATTGTCGTCTTGACTTTTTAACTTATATTCGGAGGAAATATTTAAGGAAGCCTTAATGGAGCAACCGAAGGTATTATTGTGAATGGAGTAACCGTCAACAATATTAGATTAGCCGACGATACCTTAGTCCTTGTTAATTGCGGAGAAGACCTTCAAAATCGAATGAACAAAATAAAACAGACTTGTGATCAGTATGGATTAAAACTCAACGTTAAGAAAACTAAATATATGATAGTTAGCAAACAAAATTACATACAGGATGACGGTATAAAAGTCGGAAATGTCACACTGGACAGAGTAGCGGAACTCGTGTATCTCGGCAGTAATATCAATGAGAGCTGGGATCCAACCGCAGAAATTAAAAGCCGAATAGAACAAGCCCGAGCTGTCTTTGTAAAAATGAGAAACATACTTTGCAGTCACGATCTAGCATTGACCTTAGAGTTCGAATGACATCTTGCTACATCTTTCCTGTCCTGCTGTATGGAGTTGAAGCGTGTAACTCTAATTGAGGCTATCCTTAAACGCTTGACAGCATTTGAGATGTGGGTATACAGATGACTACTGAAAATAAGCTGGGTCGACAGAGTTAGAAATGAAGAGGTCCTTAGACGGCTGAACTAAACAACACAACTGGTCAATATAATAAAGAAACGCAAGCTGGAATACTCCGGTCACATTATGAGACACTCGAAAAATATGATCTTTTACATCTGATCATTCAGGGAAAGATCGTGGTCCTGGTAGAAGAAGAACATCATTACTGAAAAATCTAAGGCAATGGTATGGAAAATCAACTACATCGTTATTTAGAGCTGCTGTCAATAAAGTCACGATAGCGAATATGGTAGCCAACATGATATCCAACGATCAATAACGGTCATGGAACTAGAAGAAAGTTCAGCTTAAACATAAAGATTATCTAATGTCTTTTTTCTGATCGATCCCTCGATAACCCATCATTATATTACTCATGGAGTTTCTCACCGAACCAGCTCATTATATATGTACTTTTTGGCCTGACAACCGTTATAAATATACTTTAATAATAAATTTCATAATGTACAAAAAATGTAGCTTATACTTTGTTATTTATTTATTTTTTAGGACTTGTGTAGCTGCAGTTCCAAGACTAATCCCTGATGGAATGACCGCTGGGGAACTAGTGGACTTACTTAGTAGACTTACCGTTCATATGGATGAGGAATTAAGAGGCTTATCATATTGTAGTTTACAAAGTTTAGTTGTAGATTTTCCCGATTGGCGGCAAGACGTTTTGTGGGGTTTGACGCAGTTTGTAGCTAAAGAAGTGTTAGATACTTTCCCCCAACTTATGGATCATGGATTAAAGATGATTTTGACCTTATTGGGTGCTTGGAAAGCGGCCATTTCTGGAACGAATGTTAGCACTTTTACTTCTTCAACGCTTAGAGGTATATGCTTTTATTTATTTATTTTTTTATATACACGAATATAAAAATATAAATTGCATTTGAAACTGATAAATGAATGTGTATGGCGATGGATGTTTGTGTAATGTTTAAGAATATGTTCTAAAGCAGTATGCAATCATTTTTAAAAATAACAAATGTCAAAAAATAACTTCTTCCAAAATAATGATTTTATTGAAAAATAAAAAAATAAATAACATTGCACATTTTTTCTGTTTTCTTTATAAAATTACACTTAAGTCGTGATTATTAATACTGTGTAGTACCACCTCTATTGTGAATTACACCCCTCGTTCGATTTGGCATTGAATTGATCAAATTCTGGATGTGGTTTTGAGAAAAAAAAGCTTCCCATTCTTCCATGGCGCCAACCGAAGCTGCTCACGATTTATTGGAGCAGGTATTCTGTTTCCTACCCTTCGTTTGAGTTGGTCCAAAACATGTTCAATCGCGTTCAAATCTGGACTTTGTAGCGGCCAGTTTATTTTTGGTACACCGACAGTTTCCAGATATTGCGTTACCATCCTGGCTACGTGTTGCCGCGCGTTGTCTTGCATAAAAATAAAGTTTTCACCGACAAACCTAGCAAAAGTCATCACATGCTCGTCCACAATTTCGGTAATGTATCGGTGTGCATTCAAAGCTCCTCTAGTAATAAATACGAGATCAGTACGGCCCTCGAATGAAATGCCTGCCCAAAACATTACCGAACCTCCTCCAAAAGCAACACGTACTCGTCGAACACAAGCAGCATATTGTTCCCCACGTCTTCTATATGTTTTGATGCGACCATCTGAGCCATAAAGAACCATCCTGGACTCATCACTAAACAAAACATTTTTCCAATCTTCTATCGTCCAATGCTTGTGGTCTCTAGCAAACTGTAGTCCGCGTTGTCGATGTGCTGCTGTTAACAAAGGTCCTGTTGCTGGACAGCGAGACCTTAGAACAAATTCCCTCAACCTTCTTCTCACGGTAGAAGTGTTTAAAGTCCACCCGTGAGCATTTTGAAAGCGGTTTTGGATTGATCTAGCCGTAAAGAACGGTCTTCTCTGGCCGTCGTGATTCTTCTCGGACCTGATCCTGGTCGTCGTTCGTGAGATCCAGCCTTCTACGAATTGTTGGTAAATTTTTTGGATCATACAACGACTGGCTCCAAGCTGTCTGGCCACTTCTCTTTGACTTATTCCATTATTAATCAAAGTAACAATTTGAACAGATCTAACAAATCTCTCAGCCATAGTTTTAAATTTAAAAATTGCACAAGTTTACTCTTCGAACAACTGCACACTAGTGAAAGGTTTTCGAAAAACAAAATAGCCATATTCCAAGAAAAATAAGGTACAGACAACACGTGCATTATCCGAAGTCGTAAAACTGATATAAATTCTACAAACTTATTACCCTTAATTGACCTGTCAGCACCGTTTGTCGGTGCCTAAAAGACGCTAAGTGTTTCTGCATGATGGGAATTTAGTTACACTAGAATAAATTGTATAAACTTAAAGTTATTGAAAAATTCTTACAAAGTTCTAGGTGTCCACTTTTTCGTGACGTGCAGTATATATATGTATATATATATATATATATATATATATATATATAATATATATATATATATATATATATATATATATATATATATATATTGTAATGAGAACAGAAATACAATAAATTAGCATAGAAATATATTTAAGTCAGCCATGTGTATATACAACCAGATATACAATGTTAATTAATAAATTTTATTTAAATATTAATTAAAGATATAATTTATAAGTTATATACTAGATAATATTATTAAAAAATAATTATGAGGTATTTTTAAGAATCTAGCATATAATAAATGTTAAAAGTTTTTTTTTATAAATATGTATAAGTCAGCCATATGTATATGCAACCAGATATACAATGTAGTGTCAAAGTCAAAAAGGAGTTTATTTATTGGAATGTTAATTTAAAATATAATTGCGGATGTGAAATGGTAATAATATATTTCATATAAATGTTTAAGTTACATATAATAGTGTAGTTCTGATCTGGAGAGCCTAAAGTCAAGTAAATTATAGATAGAAAACTCTAGAAATGTCAATGGGACTGTATACATAATACATAACAGACAAAAAACCATTCCAGAATTTTCAAATAGAAACAAATAGAATGATTCGAACATTATTTATTGCTGGAATATTCTGGAAAGAAAAAAGATATATATAGGCCATGTAATTTGGTCAGAGGAGTCAGTTATGAGTTAGAGTTTAGTCAGTCAGTTATGAGTTCAGTTCAGTTACCAGTTCAGTTATCAGTTATCAGTTAGTAAAGTTAGAATTCAAGAATTTAGTTACAAGAAGATTATTAAAGCAGTTAATCAGTTAGTTAGTGAAGTTAGTTAGAAGAATTCAAGGCATTAAGTTACAGATTATTATTAAGTTAGAGTTGATTCGTGAAGTGAGTTAAGTTACAAGAAGTTACAGTCAATTATTAAGTGAATTAGTTTGAAGAATGTAAGAATTCAAGGATTATTATTAAGTCAGTTACATTAGATTATTAATTATAAAGAAGAATTAAGAAGAATTTATGAGGTTATGAAGAGATTATTAGCTAGAAGAAGGCATTGATTAAGTTAAATGAATTAATTAAGTAAAATACAAGTGGAGATTAATTATTACTACAGTAATATAGTGACAGTATGAAGTTAATTCATTGAAGTAAGCATTCAATAGTAGTACAACCACAAGATCCAGTATATTTGAAAGTACATTATATGGAAATTACAAGGATTTAAATTTATATATTTATATGGTGAGTGGAGATAATTAAGAAGAAACATATTAACATTGTTGGATAACCAAGGCTAAGTAAGAAGATATCGAGTGGTGATAATAACTTTAATTTTGGAAAAACTTTAGGCGTTCAGTGACAGAAAGGTACCAAATTTTGTTAATAATTTAATAATTGTAAAAATTTCAAATTTTAGATAGATTGTTTTAATTTGATATTGCTTATATTAGATAGATATGTTTGTTTCATACTAGTTATAATAAAGATAATTTAAAAAAGTACTTACAAACTAATTCTTTGAGAACCGCGATAAAAACCCTATACTTACATATTATCATTCAAATTTACTCATAGCTCATACAGAATATATATATATATATATAATATATATATATATATATATATATATATATATATATATATATATATATATATATAATATATATATCGAGGGTTCGAGCGAAAACCCGATAAATGACAAAATTATGAAACACGGTATTTTTATTTCTTCTGTATTAAAAACACGTCTTCTATCACTGAAAAAATTTTTAAAATGATATTAACATTTTTAAGCACAATAATTGATAAAAACCAAACATGTAAAAACCGTTAAGTCATATTTTAAATAACACCAACCCCATATATAACTTTACTGATAAAAATACTTTGAAGTAAACATATTTATAATATGAGAATCCGATAGAATCATTTATCTTCTTTTCCTATGTCAAGTTACTAATTTTATTAGAAATATTTCTGAATTAAAAAACATATAATTCATTTTATCGGAAATTGAAATTCATAATAAATGTCTGAAATAATAAAATCAGTTCTAGGAAAAATAAGCTAGAACAACTTAACTGCTTCCTTTTTTAAAGAAATTCGCAAGTTAAGATTTAAAAATATGTAAATACATTTATCGATATGAAGATTACAAAGCTGTTAATTTTAACAAAATATATTCATGCGAAAATCCAATAAAGAATTTTATACGATTATACTTTATTCAATTTCAGCACATTTTTGTTCTGCGAAAACCAGTAAATCAATTTTAGGTTACACGAAGTACAACGATTTACCTTTTTGGGTCGGTACTTCTGATTAGTTCACACATATCTGGACTTGATTATGGACGTTGCGTTCTCTAACAAATGTATAGTTTGATGTTGAATTGTTATTGTGATTCGTACTTTCGAAAGAAACAGTTTGATTTTATAAATTATAAAATGAGTAATCGAAGTAAGATGTTAGTGGAAATGGTCACCAAAAACCATTATTTTGAAGACTGGTAAGTAATATTTTTTGTTATGTGAACAATTATACAGTTCCTAGTTGTTTGAATTGTCATCCATTAAATTTAAGAGTAATTAGTGAAATTGAGATGTTTTATTTTAAATTTACTTTATCTTAATAAATTCATTTTCGATATCAAGACCTAAAATTATTCAGTACTGGGGTGCAAAATTAACCGGACACCTTAAAAATGGTCATTTTTGATGTCTCGTATCTTCTAAACCTGTTGTCCAATTTCAGTAATTTTTTTAACATGATATAAGTTTTATTCTTTAACAATATCGCTGTAATAATGTTGCTAATCGGATAAATTTTCATTGTATACCGGGTGTACCAATCAAAGTATGTTTTTTTTCTCAAAGTTTGCATCACTCTGTGGAATTTTTTAGCATTAAAAATTTTCTGGCATATAAAATACTGAAATTAAAATCCAACTATAACTTCATGTTTTCTTAACGTTTGGTTTTTTGATTCATTCGCTTACATTAGACCAGAAAAAAGTTATATTACCACATCAGCCGTCAGATTACTCGTATGCGCGTTAATGGTGAATATTAAATTCCTACTTGTATGTCAAAGAATGTGCAATAGAACATATCTGAAACTTTTTCTGAGCTAGACGAAAATCAATGCCGATAGCAGAGTATATCGAAAATACAATGGAAGATGATGATTTTAACACAGGTGACTTCATTTAGAATAATATTTAATGTATTAGTATTCTATTTTGGTTTTTATTTCAGAAGCTGAGGAGTCAATCAAAAAAAAGTTTAACGTAAGAAAATTTATATACTCTGAGAAGTCTACATCTTGGTGACATTAATAATTAAAGACGTTTTATAACCAGTACTGCGTAAGGTAATAAAGCCCGAAAAGGTGGCGTAAAAGTAATCCTACTGAATGGAAATTGAATATTGCGAAAAAAAAAGGCGGTCAGAAGGGAGCACATATATAACGAAAAACAAAACCAGCGCTCCCAAGGTACCCCAGCAAATCATATGTGATAAAGGTAAATTTAAGTATACTGAAAAGTTTTCTGAAGATTATAGAAACAAACTCTGTAGAAATTACTGGAGTCTAGATTTTAAATCTAGAAAAAAATTTATTTTACACAACATAGCTGTAAAACAAATTAGGACTAGACTTTTCCTTAAAACTTCCAAAAGAAAGGAAGGAAAATTTAGCCAGAAATGTTTTTTTTCCACTAGCTAACAACGAACGGATTCCAGTGTGCCAAAAGTTTTTCTACAAAAACGCTGTGTATATCCTAAGATGTTATAATAAATGCTGTAGCTGACAGTGATTCTATTGGTTGCTATTCTAAAGAAGACAATCGCGAAAACAGGAACCAGTTAACAAAACAAAGGCTGAAGATGTTCAATTTGTTAAAAGTCATATTGAATCCTTTTCGGTTATAGAATCTCATTATACCCGAAAGGAGACCATTCGAAAATACTCAGATCCCACTTTAAATATCAAAAAAATGTACCAGTTTTACTCAGATAACTGCATCGAAAATAGTCGAGACCCTGTTGCTTTACGTAAATATCGATCTATTTTTTGTTAAGAGTTTAATCTAAGTTTTTTCACGCCCAAAAAGGACCAGTGTCTTATCTGTGCCAAATATGCTAAGTCTGATCTAGAGCAGAGAAAAAATCTTGAAATAATCTACGAAGAACATAGAAAAAGAAACGAAATTTGTCAGGCCGCTAAAAGAATAGATAAAGACAAAGCAAATAAAGACAAGACATTTATGTCTGTAACATTGGATTTACAAGCAATTTTACAAATACCCAAAGGATCTATTAGTCAATTATACTATCGTAGAAAATTTTCTAGTATACAATCTTACTATTTGGGAATCACCGCTACCCAAAAACGGTAAAAAGGGTAGTTTCTGAAATCGGAACTTGTATGTATTACTATTCAAGTGAATGCTTAAGACCTGAGTTAAGCATGTAACAATTTCTTCAGATACTTGTGGCGGTCACAAATCGTAATCAATTTATAGCCGTACTGCTGTTGTGAATCGTACAAAATATCGACCAATTGGAAATTATAGAACAAAAGTTCTTAGAAGCAGGACATATTTATATGGAAGTGGATTCTATGAACTCGGCAATAGAATCTGCAAGTAAATATGTAAATGCATGAATTACTGAAAAATATATTTCAAACAGCAAGAAAACAGAAAATGAAGACAGTAGACAATGTGAAACATAATATAGGCCCATACAAGGTAAAAGAAAAACAATATAATAAATTTTGAGATTAAAGTCACTTGCAGCAAATATATTGCGAAACAGAATAGTAGATTATGCCGGTAATACTGTGCAGTGGTTAAAAATCAAGAGACTAAAAGATATTAAAGGTGAAACAAGGAATTTTTATCAACTACGATCTCTCAAAAGAATTAAAGTATTTAAACATATCAGAAGATATTGGTTTGAATTAGTATAGTATTAGTATTAGTATAGTTTTAAATACAAAAGTACTCTTCCAATAAGCGAAGCAAAAAAAGTATTTAGTAAAGATATGCCAAGAAAACATTTTTCTGGAAGAGCTGCGTGGATATCAAGTTTAAAAACAGGGAATAATGTCGTAGATCGAATTCCAGACATAATGATGGAAGAAGAATCGGAAGAAGAAGATATTACCCTTTAATTTCCTAAAAGGAATGTAGATTATTATTTGTTTTATTTGAATAAAATACAGTTCATTTTCATTTTATAATTGACAAAATTCAAAATAAAAACCAATAAAATGAATTGTTGTACTCATTCAGCGAGGAAAAACCCGATAAATATCATGTTTTATTTTTTTTGTAAATACGTTTTAATAAGTTAAACTAAAAATAAATTATTCTAACTAAACATTAAATTCTCTACTGCTTGGCTGTAACAAATATTTGAAACAACTTCCTGTGCCGATTTAAAGCCTCTTCAATGTTACGAAAATCTTTAATCGCGATTATCTCCGAACAATGATTTTGTTAGTTATCGGGTTTTCGCTCGAACCCCTCGATATATATGAATTAAAAGGCTATATAAACATAAAAAGGCCACAGGCCAGAGGATAAAAAACAATTTTTTTAATTGTTTAGTTCTTCGTCACAAATGCAGGTAGCAGCCTTTCTATTGAGAATGCAAAAATCATTAAGTTTTCTCGCAGGACAGATAGTACTATAAATCCTAAAATTACCATAACTGGTACTTGTCTACCAGCAGTAAAGCGTATACGGATTTTAAGACTAACATTCGACAATAAACTTACTTGGAAATGCCATTGAAAAGATCTCAAATCTAAGTGCATGACAAATCTTAATATATTAAAAGCTCTCTCCAATCATCATTGGGGTGCAGACGAAGACTCCTTACTTCAGATTTATAGAGTCTTATTGGTTCTAAAATAGACTACCGCAGTTTCATTTATATGTCAGCTAGCCCATCAGATTTAAAACTTCTTAATTCTATACACAACACTGCACTTCGAGTGGAGACCTTGGAACCTGTAAGTCGAGCCCCGCAGAGTGTTTATACAGAGAAGCTAATGAACTTTCCCTCTGCTAACGTAAAATATTCGTCTCGAATCTCAGCTAATACTGAAAATTCAGCTTATAAATTACTTAAGTAATGACATTTTAAACTCTCCTTCTCCTATTAAGCTTCAATCTATGCCGCAGTATCTCTCACCATAACTGAATAACATCCATCTTCCAGCCAAAACCCCAATATTAATATCACCTAAACCTCCTTGGAATAAATTGGAAGCCCATTTTAATCTCTCGTTAACTAATTATGATAAGCATCAGACAAATTCATAATTTGTAAGGCAAACCTTTAAAGAATTAATTGCTAACAACAGATTTGACCAAATTGTATACACAGATGCTTCTAATTGTTCTAGCGCTGCTGGATGTGCTGTAACTTCAAACATAGATTTAATCATATCTTGTAATCTCCCGCTCTTCTGCTGCATACATACTGCTGAATTATTCTCTATTATCCAAGCTACAAACTTACTATCACCAGAATATAAAAAAGTAGCAATATGTACAGACTCTTTAGCGTCTATCTACTCTGCACATCCTTTGGTTCAAGCTATTCAAAATACTTTCGATAGTTATCCATAACCACGATCTGGATTCCGTCTCATGTAGGAATCCCTGGTAACGAACTAGCCGACCCCTTTACAAAACAAGCCTCGTCCTTTAATATGGAGACTGAAAACATACAACTACATACAGATTTAAAGTCGTGATATCCATCCTACCGTTAAAAAGCTTGAGTTTCCTTCCATAACACGAAAAAACAAAATCTTAATTCGCCGACTTAGAATCGGCCATACAAGACTCAAGACATACAACTCATAAACATTTAATGACTTTCCAAGATCTACCTACATGTACACACTGTGGAATATTGTATCTGTTAAACATATTTTCGTAGACTGTCCCTATTTCAACAACAACAGGAAAAATAATCTTTTGAGTCGAAACCTACAAAATATTCTCAGCTCGCCAGATCAATTCCAAATCTTTAATAATTTCTTCTATGAAACCAAGCTTTACCAGGAAATTTAGAAGAAGAAACGTAGTTTAGAATTTGATAATTAATAATTGTGCCAATATTTAATGTATTTCTTTCTCGATTGTAATGTTAATGTGTATTATTGTAATGTAATGTAATAAAATTGTGCCTGTGTCAGTGACCTAGACACGTAAAGCTAAAAAAAATTCATTGTTATCTTTCTCAACTATCCGTTTATTTTTTTCACAACTGGTATTATGTTTTTAGCCAAAGAATACAGCGAATTGAAAGCAGGCCCACCAGATCCAAATCTAACCAAACGTACAGACATGAGTAAGTCGGAACCACTGGCATCAGTTCTTCACTTAGTGGAAGCCTTGGCTTTAGTAATGCTATGTACATATCGTTTAACGACCCGTCGTTTGTCGGTATTGATACTAAAAGAAGTGAAAAGCCTTTTGAAAGCCTTGAACTGTTCAGAACACCCGCCTGTAATCGATATTATGGATCAATACTGTCCGCAAGTTATTGAAAAGTGTCTTCTATTGCTACCGCCAGCAGAAAAAACAGCAATCCAAGCCGTGAGTTTAGTTGGGTAAGTCAAATAATTTAAATTTTATGTTTTAAGAGGCTTATAAAGTACACAAAGAAACTAAGTTCCTTTAGGTGGCTGTATACCATGTATCACAAAAAATTTATTTAAAAATTCTTTATAAAAGGTATACAGTCAAAATCGTTTACAACGACACCGGCTATAACGTAGTCAGATATAACAAACAAAATAGTAGGTCCCATAAACTGACATACAAAAAACGCATTTATATTGCTTATAATGAACAAATCGGTTAGAGCAAATGTATTTCTTGGAACACTAGCAGTTAAAATATTGGTTACAGCGTACAATTTCAAGTACATATCTGTACCTCAGATGATACAACATCCATTTTTTTCAAATATGACATTTTTACGCACTGTATTGTAAACAATCTAATATTGTTTCCACATCTTAATAAATAAGTTTAAAAGTGCTATCCTGTAATATCCACAGGTATTACCGATATTTATTAGCACGAAATGATAAGTAGAATTTATTAATTTATAGTTACAGTACATTCGGCAGGCATCTACACTTAATTACTTGTCCTTTAGACATTTAGAACTCCCAAGACATTGTAGGGTCCATTGTATTAAAAAATTTTGTTTATATTACACCATTTGGCCCAAGCCAAGAGTTTCTGAATTTGAATTCAGTTTTGTCTAGTCTTCATAGAAAATATGTCACGGAAACAATTTACTATTGAGGAACAGTTTGGAATAATTTGCCCAGTCGATTCCGGTGATTCTGCGAGTTCGATTGCCCGGGAATTTAAAACGCTCAGCAATTGTTGGAATGATGAAACGGCGAGAGAAAATTATTATGCAATTTAATAAGTGTGAAAAGAAAACGCGTTCGGTTATTAAATCACAGTGACATTGAAAGTGCTTTACTCGATTGGTTAAAACAACAACGAGCAAACAATGTACCCGTGAGTGGGCCGATGCTTCAGGTAAAGGGTGACATACAACCATCAGGAATCGCATACAACGATATTGCACAAACGCATTTGCAGGATGCCGTTTTTCTTTTCAGTTCTGACTGCTCTGCAGATAACTATGTATGAGTGAATGACGAAATAAGTACGAGCGAAGAACTGTCAGATATTGACATCGTACTGAGTCACCAAACTAGTGATAAATAAAGTGCTGATGAGGCTGATGAAGAATTGGAAGATTTCGGCATAATCCCTACTATTGCTGAAGCATATGCTGCTTGTTCCACCATAAGAGAATTTATTCAGATTGCTGAAACTTCCCAGAGTGTGAAAGAATCATTATCGATTGTTTCCAGATCAATTGAAAAAATGTTTTTTTTTCAGAAGTTCAAGGAAGGCGACAAACAAAAATTACAGACTTTTTTCATTAAATATTCAGGTAAAATGTTGTATTCACATATTTTGTAATACATAAATGTATTTCCTTGTCTTTTTAAAAATAAATAGTATATATCTGCTTACATTTTTATAATGCAAATATTTTGAGAAGCCGTTATATTATAATTACACTTTATTGACTACTTATTCTTATTTCGATATTTATTATACATATATGTATGTAAATATTTAGATTTACGTAAGTACAATAAACATATGTTAAATGTTATGTAGAATATGTTATTATAACATATTATAAGTATAATAAAGTAACACATTTTTGCGTCATAAACCTAGGTACAACGAACTATCTGTTCCTACCAGTGTAATATCGTTTATAGCAACCTGTTCACCTGGCTACAACGTACAAAAACCACCAGTCCCCTGAAGTTCGTTACAAACGATTTTGACTGTATAATTAAAACACCCTATTGGCTGCATCACAGGATTTTGGAATTAATATTCCATCGTCAGTGTTATCTAGATGTACATGTTTTGAGCCACTAAATATTTGGGTAAAAACCCGTTAAATGTTGTTGACAAGTTACATTATTTTTGATCTTATATGCTAGGACGTTTAAGTTACAACAGAAGTTGATTACATGGCAACGTAAGACTCCACTGGAGGTTGCTAGTCCTGAGACAAAGTGTCTACAAGGACTTGTTGATAGCAACTCAGCTTATTATAGATAATATTGTACTGTATATCGGCAATGAAATTGGTTAAATTTGTCTGTGTTTTGTGTGTTTATGAAAGATAAAGATATTCATGTTTATATGTTTTTATATTTTAGCTCTGTAGACCTTCAATGGCTGGCAGACAGAAGCTCGTCTGTATGGACCGCTGGATTATTTGAAGACGGTTCTATCAAGAATGCTGCAAATTATACTTTTTCTATTGTAGACCCGTGGAGTGTGTGTTACTTCGGTTTTTTGGAGAGAGATAGACTATTGAGCTTATGTACCTTAATGACTATGCATTCGTGGCCTATTGTTTTTACGAGACTGAACGCTCTTTACTCAGTAGTGGACCCTACGTAAGTATTTACTACTCTAGTTTATCAAAGTAGTTATAATTTTCATAAAAACTTACACGAGCAGTTTTTTTTTGCATTTTTTTTTTTTCATTTATTAGCTATATTTACTCAATTCTCTGATATGTAAGAGAAACCCGGACACCCAAAGTAAACACTTTAAGACGCTTTCAAATGTGGAGATATATAAGGCTCTTGAAAATATAATGGACGGATCATGTACGCAATGAGGAGAGGTATGATAAAAAGAAGAATGTCTGTCTACCATGAATATCACGTTCAATATGAAAAATAAATTTATTACATGATTCTTGGTGAACCTGAGTGTCTTGAAGATGGTAATGATTGCCGATATAGCTACTGAAATAAAATTCTTTTAAGTACTTACAAATTCCACTTTTGTATCTTCGTCGGGATCTCTAGATGTAACTAACAAAACTAGTTGAAGACGAGTTTCCCACGCCTGAAAACCGGAAACCACGTTTTAAGGGAGAATATCTCAATAGAAAAATCACACAAACCTAGAGGAATATGGATAGTTCTACCATCTCTCCCGTTTCCAGCTACAGATTCGCAGTCTATGAGGGAGAAATTCAAAAATACCTCGTAAATAATATTCGTAAGGAAGAATCTCACAGAATTATACACTCATTATTTCCTTAAATAAGACAATTACTTTTGACTTGAGTTGCTCTAATACTCCTGTAGAGAGATAAACATAACATATATCTTTTATCAAGAAGACGTTTTGATCACATCGAGCATTCAACTTTCTCTATGGAGTCATCTTTAGAATTTGCTTTTGTTCTGAGACTTCAGTCTGCCGATTAGTCTTGTGTTGTTCTTGATGATTTTTGGCAATATGTTTTACTGTGTTCTAATCATAAACATTTTTTCAGACCATTGAACGATAATAGAGCTTCTTTATTGAGAAGTGCTACCGCTGTGAAAAAACCACCCACTGAAAGAGATGCCTATATGCATTTGTGGAAAAACTACATTACATTTGCTTTTAGGGTGGTTCCTCTTATTGCAAATCCTATTGTCAGATGTGCTAGTCCCGATCTAAGTTTAAGGTAAGTTACAAACAATTGCTTTTTACTTTTGCTAAAATATATTGTAAAATTTATTTAATTTATAGAGTTCCATATTAACCTAACCTAGTCCTGCCATAAATATTGATACAATGTATTTAGGTAACTAAAAAAAATTTAACAACTGGTTTGATTTGAAAAAATTTTGCACACTGTATTACAACAATAATAACCTACAAACTATAAAAAATTAATTAAAATGGCCACCATTTGCCTGAATACAACACCGAAGTCTGTTAGACCATTCATCGATCGCTGTACGGATGACATCTTAAGGAAAATTATCCACAGTTACTTCTTCTTCTTAAAGTTCCATCTCCTATCGGAGGTTGGATATCATAACGGCTATGGTCACTTTGTTGGCTGCTGCTCTGAAAAGTTGTAGAGAACTACAGTTAAACTATTCTCTAAGGTTCCTCAGCCAGGAGATGCGTCTTCTTCCTCTGCTTCTTCTTCCTTGGATCCTTCCTTGCATAATAATTCTCAGCAGCTCATATTTTTCTCCTCTGGTTTTCTGACCCAAATACTCTAGTTTTCTTCTTTTTATGCTGTTCATAATTTCTAACTCCTTATTTAGACGTCGTAGTACCTTAGCATTGGTAATCCTTTGAACCCACTGAATTTTTAACATTCTTCTGTAACACCACATATCGAACGCTTCTATTTTTCTTATGTGTTGTTTCTTCAATCTTCAATGTCCAAGCTTCTATTCCGTATAGTAAGATAGAAAATATGTAACATCTTAGAGCCCTCAATCTGAGATGCAACTGAAAGTTTTCACAAATGCTTGCCTTGCAGTTTCAATTCGGACTTTGATTTTTCTGTTTTGGTCATTTTTGTCATCAATCCAGGTTCCCAAATATTTGTATGTCTCTACTTTTTCTATTTGGGTTTGTTCTATCATTAATCTTTCATTTCCATGTTGCGTTTTTGAGACAATCATAAATTTAGTTTTTCTCTTATTTATTTTTAGTCCGTATCTAATGCAATAATCGTTAATTCTATTTACCAATTCTTGTAGCGATTCCAGGGTGTCTGCCATTATAACGGTGTCATCTGCGAATCTTATGTTATTTACTATTCTTCCGTTTACAGAGATTCCATCACCCAGATCCGTTATCGCTTCCTGGGATATGGCTTCACTGTACACGTTAAACAGTAATGGTGACAGAACACAGCCCTGTCTTACTCATCTCGTTATATCTATATTTTCGGACTTTTGTTCTTCTATCTTTATATTGGCCTTTTGATTCCAATACAGATTGATAATGATTCGTAAGTCTCGTATGTCTATATCTTTGTTTCTCAGTACTTCTATTAGTTTTTCATGTCGGACCCTGTCGAATGCCTTCTCGAAGTCGATGAAACAGGAAACAGAAACCCAAACTGAGTATCATCCATATCCTCTTCTAGTTTTCTATATAATCTTCCATGAATCACCTTTAGAAATATTTTGAGGGTTTGGCTTATTAGTGATATTGTCCTATAGTTTGAACAATTTTTGGCATATACTGTTTTTGGTGCTACAAAGGTGGACACCAACCATTTCTGTGGGATTTTTCCAGTTTTATATACTTCATTAAATAGGTCCAGAAGTACAGGTAGAGTTTCATCGTCTAGACATTTCAGTAGTTCCGCAGGTATTCCGTCTGGACCTATAGTTTTTCCGTTTTTTTGCGTTTCGTATTGCTTGTTCGATTTCCTCTATTATGATCTCTGGCCCCGTTTCGCTGTCGATTTCTTCCGGTTCTTGTCGATTATCCTCAAGCAGGTCTGTTATGTATGTCTTCCATTTTTTTAATTTCTCTTTAATTTCTATAATGATTTTTCCATTTGCGTCTTTCAGAAGGGCATCTTTCTTTTTTCTCAGTGTATTTGTCATTTTCTTTATTTTCTTATGCATGTTAAAGCTATCATACTGTTTAGCATATGCCTCTATTTCACTGCATTGATTAGCAAGCCAGGAGGATTTGGCCCCTTTTATTTTCTTTCCTATCTCCAATCTCTGTAGTTCTTTGTATTTTGCCTTACTCCTGCCTTTATGTTTCCTTCTTTCCTCCATTAGATCTCAGATTTCTGAGTCATCCATCTCTGTTTTTTTCTTATTTTTGTCTGCAGTAGCTTTTCTCCTGCCTTTATTAAAGTTTCCTGTACCACGTTCCATTTGTCATTAACATCTGTTGTTTTTATCACGTCTTGTTTGATTTTCTTTAAGTTATCATTTATTTCTTGTTTTAAGCTCTGACGTATAGGTTCTTCTTTTATCGTTGAGACATCAAACCGTGGTATATTTGTTTGTTTTTGGATCTTCTTCAATTTTATCTGCATTACGCCTACTAATGGATTATGGTCTGAATTTATGTCAGCTCCGGGGTATGTTCTCAGAGACTTTATAGTGTTTTTATATCTAGATTTTATTAAAATGTAATCTATTTGGTTTTGAACAATGTTATCTTCTGAATCCGCAGGTGATTTCCAAGTATAAAGTCTTCTTTTAGGTAATTTAAAATTTGTATTCATTATTACCATCTCCTCGCTTTGGCAGAATTCGACAAGTCTGTCCCCTCTTTCATTTCTTTCTCCCAAGCCAAATTCTCCGACACATCCGTCCACTTTTCCTTGTCCAACCTTTGCGTTGAAATCTCCCATCACCAACAATATATCATAATTTTTTGTGGATCTTATGATTTCGTTTAATTGCATGTAGAACCTCTCTATCTCCGTCTCATCTGTCGGCAGTTGGTGCATATATTTGGACAATGTTGATCTTTTTAGAGAATGTCTGCAATTAAATCATCATCAATCTTTCTGGGTAGGGAGTAAAACCAACTACTGATTTTGTCTCTTTGTCTACAAGAATAGAAACTCCATATCAATGTCTTGGATCATTGTTACCAACGTAATACATCATGTCGTTGTTTGTGGCTAGTTTTCCTGAATCGGGCCATTGAACATCGCTGATACCGAATATATTTATCTTAAGGCGATCCATTTCAGCTATTAGGTTGTTCAGCTTACCTAGTTGAGATAAACTCTTCACGTTCCATGTGGCCAGTCTTAGGGTTCGTCCTTTTTCTATTTTCTCTACAGTTACTACTAACGTCTATTTCAATGACATTATGATATCGTCTTATAGAGGCCATACCCTCTGAAACTGACCATAATTTGTAACCGAGTCGATTAAGGTCTGGGCTGACTGACGCCCAATCGTCACTACTAATAAATTCGGGTACATGATGTTCAAGCCACTGTTGAGTAGTTTTGATATTCTGCGCAGTCACAGAGTCCTGATGAAATATTCATGATCTATTTTAAAACCTAGTGTGGTTTAGGGACTTCTCTAAATTTGTTAAAATGTCCCGTTGTAAATTTCTAGCCGCGTTTTAACGCCCTTTTTAACAAAAATGTAAAGAAGTGACGCCACCGGGAAGATCGTGCACTGACGCTATATTTATAATGAGACAAGTGAAAGAGAAATCATTAGAATATAACAAACTGGTATATCTATGTTTCGTGGACCTTAAGAAGACATTTGATCGGGTTAAATTAAAGGATGTTATCCACTTATTGTCCGCATGAGAGATACCTCTAGGAATAATCAAAACGATCGAAAATATGTACCAAAACAATACAATAAAAGTAAAAGTCGAAGAAGAACTAACCGACCCTACTAAAGCTGGCAATGGGATAAGAGAGGGAAATTTCCTGAGTCCTCTATTGTCTGATTATGGATGAAATAATAAAAAAAGTAAGAACTAAAAAACGATACCAAATGGGAGAACAACAACTTAAAATAAATAATCTGCTATGCAGACGATGAAATACTAGAAGATGTAACGTATGCTGCACCAATTTACTATAAACGCCAAAAAAATTAACATTTCCCCAAAAAAGACAAAATGCATGGTTATAACAGCAAATTTACTAAGATGTAAATTGGAGCTGGAATGTCAGATAATGGAACAAGTGATGGAGTTTAAATATCTAGATATCTAGAAATATTTAGCTAGGGAAAGCTCGAAACTGATGTAGAAGATCAAGTGAATAGAGCAAATAGAGCCGCAGGTTGTCTGAATGAAACAATATGGAGACCAAAAAAAATATCGGGAAAGAAACGAAAGGCAGAATTTGAAAAAACAGTCATTAAATCAATAATGATATACGCGGCAGAAACACGACCTGGCGCAGAGAGGACAAAATGGATGTTAGAAATAGCAACATTTAATTTTTCAAATCAAATTAAATCTTGATCATCTCATGATTGGTTAGACAAAAAGGCTGGACGAGGACTTATTCACCTATTTCATTATTCAACAGAATTCTACAATACAACTTAAAAAAAACAGCAAAACTTAAAGCTATCAAATAAACTGTAATTGTATTGTATCGTTACTGTTTTGTATAAAACTTTATGAGGTCGCTGGTTAATATTTAATTTAAATATCGAAAATCAAATATTGTAATTCAAATAACAATTGTCAGATTTAATAACTTCTTGTCAATTCTATACCAGATTCACTTCTATGAATGCGGCATCTGTGACTGGTGCTTGAGGGTTGTTCGTGGTGACAAGTTATTATAGAGTGACCGATCATACGTATGTACGAAACAAAATACGTATGTATTGTTACGGACATGCATTCAGCTTGTCCCGTGTAGCGGTTGCATCTCGAAAGCGACTCGAAGTTTCCAGGGATATCGAGTGCGAGAGAGAACAACCCGTCACGTAGGCGAATTAGAGGTGGGAATATATGTAACGATGTTAGGAGTTAGTTTTAGTTGACAAGATATTACCGAACTGTAAAGTTATAAATAAATATATTTATATAAATTCGAACCGCTCGTTTTATTTAAAAACGCTACAGTATTTTGAATTTGTAAAGAAAATACGTATATACGAAAGTCGACTAGGGTGGTTCGTAGGACCTCCGTACATAGCAATAAATTAAGCTTAAAATGTCATATTAAACTTTCTACACAAAGGATGGGTACGTTTCCTTAATGACTCTGAAGTGTTTTGGGTTGATAAATAGTTTCCCAAAAACATGTTGTTTTTCAAACAAGTGAATTCTCAGAACTTGACAATAATGAATCAGCCAATTTGATTACGAGAATTTAAAAGATCTGGAACTAAAGCCATATTATAATTAGCTAATATATTATAATTAAATAAATATAAGTCTTGAACACTTTTCCAAACAGTTACCATGTTACAAAAATCCTGATACTTTCAATCTTTATATTTTGTACCAAAGAAAATCGAAAACGTCATTTGAACTCAATAGATTTTCTTTATTCCAGCTCTTCACCAGACAGCCTAAACACCGAAAAGAATGATAGTAAACTGCCGGCTACAAATATTTCACCAGTGTCATTGTACAAACTAGTCGTTCCTCATTTAAGGTGCGAAGTTACTGACATACGAGATGCAGCAGTATACGCTCTAGGGAATATTAACGGAAATGCGCTTAGGTAAGTATAATAACTTAAATTAAAAAATCACTACAATTTAATTCTCACCATAAAGAAATTAGTTCATACTTAATAATATTGAAATATTACTAGTTTTATAGTTTAACGTATCTAAGAATTCGTCTTCCCAGTTCACATGATCTCTAAAAGATTTTAAAAGCGTTTAAACAAAGCAACAACTGTGTCAGAATGTCTAAAAGATGTAATTTGGCAGAAATTAAAGTTACAATAGATATCACTTGTATTAGATCTGTTATGACGTATGTAATATAAACTAGAGAAGACGCTAATAAAATCAAAAGTATACTTATAGCAGAGGAACTGAATATATGAAGAAGTATAGCAAGCAAAACTATGAAGGAAACTAAGAAAAAAGAGCGCAAGTTGTAACAAAACAGTGAAACCAGAAAGATGTCAGTGGTATAGACACATGAGAAAAATGCAGGGTAAAGTATAATACCCAGAATTGTACCATAGTAGAAACCAAAGTTAGAATGCAGTGTTGGTTTTACGTCGCGCAGCGATGCCGCGCTACAAGAAAGTTAAAAAACTACAAAGATGAGAGACGGTCAATTATGTATTGTGATGAAACATATAGTTCACATACCGTACCAAAAGCATGGGACGATGGCAACAATAAATGACTAAAAGCACCCGTACCTAAAGGCTTATTATCGTACATGCTGGAGGTGAAACAGGATTCTTATCTCAGGCACTTACTATTTTTAAATCGGACATGAAAACCGGAGACTATAACGATGAAATGAATAATGCAAATTTTGTCAAGTGGTTAAAAGAAAGAGAGGAGACACCATCTCTCCCAAACTATTTACCCTTGCTCTAGAAGATATTTTTAAGAAACTGGAATAGAACAATAAGGGTATCAACGTCGACGGATCATACTTAAACCACTTGAGATTCGCAGATGACATAGTTTTAATAGCCGATAATATCCAAGAACTAAATGATATGTTACAACAATTAAATGCAGTTTCAGGAGCGGTAGGCTTAAAAATGAATTACAGTAAAACAAAAATACTGAGCCGAGACCAGACAAATATAGCAATACAAAATCATACCATAGAAAATGTGGAACATTATGTATATCTAGGTCATGTTATCAAACTAGGAAAACCAAATCAAGATGCTGAAATTAAAAGAAGAACACAACTGGCTTGGGGCGCTTTCGGCAAACTAGCACATATCTTGAAAAACACCTCCATTCCTATAAACTTAAAGAAAAAGGTGTATAACACATGCATACTACCTGTTTGTACCTACGGCTTGGAGACAGTAGCACTTACCAAAAAATCTGCCAAAAAATTAGAAACAACGCAAAGAGCAATTGAACGAATCATGCTTGGAATATCACTAAGAGACAAGATTAGAAACACCGAGATAAGACGTAGAACGAAGATTAGGGATATTGTGGAAGAAATTACAAAAATGAAATGGCGCTGGGCAGGTCACGTAGCCCGATATAGTGACAACAAGTGGACACGGAGAATTGTAGAATGGAGACCAAGGACGACAACAAGAAGCATGGGAAGACCTCAAAAAAGATGGGTAGATGACATAAGAGCAGTGGCAGGCAAACAGTGGATTAGATTGGCGCAAGATAGAGAAAGATGGAAGCATATATATATATATATATATATATATATATATATATATATATAAATATATATATATATATTATATATTATATATATATATATATATATATATATATATATATATATAATATAATATATATATATTATATATATATATATATATATATAATATATAATATATATATATATATATATATACATCCTACTATCATTTTGGCATCGATACATTATGCTTTTACCATCAATTCAGCATCGTCTTGCAAAGTAGCATCTGTATATCGACGCTACTTTACAAGACCTTAATAACTTTTTTCCTGTACTTGTTACAAGAATTTTAACCATCTCAATGATTAGAGATTTGATACCGTGTTGGTATTTTAAAATGTCCGCTTTCTCTTTTTATCCCTTACTGAGTTATATAAGTTTATTCCAGGAAATGTTTGAGTCTAAAATGATGGTACAGTGAAAATATTATATATATTTAGTTCAGGGTTTTACCGTTTACTCGCTGCCATTATATACATGAAAATGTATATCGCACTTTCATTATCAATCATTTTGGCATCAGAAATTTGGCATCGCTGTTGAATATAATATTACCCACAACGAAATGGTAAATTTAAGAATTTATATATATTTTTTTCATCCATAAATCATTCTAGCATCTTGTTTGATTAAAAATAACGGGTTATATATTGGGTATATATAACGGGGTATATATTGCATATTTTTGCTCCAATTGGTCCAGTCGTGATGTACAGCACCTCAAATGATAGGATTTAACCAATAAAATACAATAAGACAGAAAAGCAGCATGTCAAAAAGGCCTTAGTTATATACCTTCGTTTCTATAAGTCCAATCGTGACGTACAGTATCTCAAATGATAGGATTTAACCAATCGAAAACAATGAAATAGAAAAATCAAATACAGCAACATGTCAAAAGGGCCGTAGTCACGTATTTTTGATCCTATTAGTCCAATCGTGACGTATAGTACCTCTAATGATAAGATTTACCGTAAGGAATACAATGGGATAGAAAAATGAAATACAGCACAATGTCAAAAGGGCCTTAGTTGTGTATCTTCGGTTCTGTTAGTCCAATCATGACGTGCAGTACCTCAAATGAAAGGATTTAACAAATAAAATACAATGAGATACAATGAGGTAATGGAGTTGCATGTCAAAAGGGCCTTAGTTATGTACCTTTGGTCCTATTAGGCCAATAGTGACGTACGATATCTCAAATGATAGCACTTAACCAATCTTCTTCTTACGGTGCCTTATCCTTAAGGACGTTGGCCATTACATTTGCCCATTTAATCTTATTTGTAGCAGTTCTGAATAGTTCTATGGAGGTCATGTTCGTCCATTGCCGTAAGTTTTTAGAAAGAGTTGCAAGAGTTTTTTTGCAAGAGTTGCGAGAGTTTTTTTGCAAGAGTTGCGTCTTCTTCCTGGTCCTCTTTTGCTATTGACTTTGCCTTCGATTATAAGTTGGAGCAGTTCATACTTTTGACTTCTTATGATGTGACCAAAATATTGTGTTTTCCGTTCTTTTATTATAAGCATAAGCTCTCTTTCCTTATTCATTCTCCGCAAGACTTCCGCATTCGTCGTATGGCTCATGTAGGATATTCTGAGCATTTTACGGTAACACCAGAGTTCGAATGCTTGGATTCTTTTTTGTGTTGCTTCTGTCATTGTCCAGGCTTCAACACCATAGAGCAGGGTGGAGAAAACATAGCACTTAAGTATTCTAGTTCTCAATGAGATGCCCAGCTGGCGGATGATAGAACTTTTTGCATTTTGTAAAACATTGTACGTGCCTTTTTCAGGCGTATTCTTATCTCTAGTGAGTGGTCCCAAGTTTCATCAAGATTACTTCCAAGGTACGTTGTTCTTGTTACTCTATCCAGATCTGTTCCGTCGACATTGACCTTCACCCTTCTGTTTTGGTGCTTGCTGATGATCGTCGTTTTTGTCTTCTTTGTATTCAATTTCATTCCAAATTCTCTACAGGCTGTCATTACTCGGTCCATTAAGCGTTGCAGGGCTTCAGCATTATTTGCCAGTATGACAGTGTCATCAGCATATCGCAGGTTATTTATACATTGCCCGTTTATAATTATACCATCCGAGGTGCCTTCCAAAGCTTTCTGAAATATCTTCTCAGAGTAAACATTGAACAGCAAAGGTGATAGGACACATCCCTGTCTTACTCCCTTCTCGATATTGATTTTTCCAGATGTTTCGCTTGTTATTCTGATTTTAGCCTTTTGTTCTTGGTAAAGGTTTGAAATGATCCTTAAGTCTTTATCGTCGATATTACATGACCTTAAAATATCTATTAGTTTATAATGTTTCACCAGGTCAAACGCCTTCTGAAAGTATATAAAACACAAGTATACATCAGAATCGACATCTCTACATCTTTCAACTAGCACACGTATTGAAAAAAGTGCTTCTCTTGTTCCGTACCCATTCTTAAAACCAAACTGAGTTTGACCAGTGTGTTAGTCTAGTTTATTGTATACTCTATTGTGTATTACTCGTAGGAAAAGTTTCAATATATGATTCATCAGGCTAATAATCCTATGGTCTTCACATTTCTTGGCGTTTTTCTTCTTTGGTAGTGGTATAAACACCGATGTCAGCCAATCATTTGGTATTATGCCTGTTTCGTATATTTTGTTAAATATATCTTCCATTACTTCGATGTGTTCGTCTAGTAATATCTTTATTATTTCAATTGGGATATTATCTTCCCCAACAGCTTTTCCGTTCTTTATCTGATTTGCCGCTTTGATAATTTCTTGCTTTGTGATATAAGGTCCAGTCGATGCCTCCTGCATGTAAATGTTCGTCCTCTCTCGGTCTTGAAACATCTCTTCCACGTATTCTCTCCATCTACCTATTTAATCTTCTCTGTTCAGTAGCGGGTTCCCATGTTTATCTTCGATGAAAGACGTAGGAGTTTGTTTAAATATTCCAGCGGCTTCTTTTACTTTTTTATGTAGATTGAAAGTATCATGTCTTTGTTCCAACTCTTCAATTTCTTGGCATCTTTCACTTAGCCAGGTTTCTTTGGCTTGTTGGATCTTTATTCTGATATTCTTGTGTATTTGCTTGTATGTTGTTTCATTTTTACCTCTGTATTTTCTTCTTTCGTCCATCATGTTTAGAATTTCTTCTGTCATCCATGGTTTGTTACTCTTGTAAGTGTTTTCTCAATATAGTGCCAGTCTTCCTCGGGAGTTTGTGTCGATTGTACTGTTCTGTTACTCAAGTGTCTATGTATTTCTTCCCGTATTTTATTACTAGTGTATTCTTCTTTAAGCTTATCTGGGTTAATAGCTATTATTTGCTTATTTCTTTTTGTTCTTT